CGTTTCATAGCCTAAGAAAGCCGGAGTGTAGGACTTTCGGCCTGGGGTGATTATGAGAAACTTACCCTCCGCAACAAACAATAGGGAACGTGGGTAGCTCTGAGTCTGCTGTCCCCAAAAGATTCCCTATAGGTAAATTGAAAAGATTTTGTGGGTAAGAGGGAAGTAGGGAAGGGGTGATATGGGGTGTTTGACACAGCAAGCTGGCCAAAAACTATGAATAGGATTAGGTACGGTACTTCCAAGAAGGACCTGAGCCCCAGAGTACTCCAGAGCAAGAGCAGGTATTAGATGGATTTAAATCTAAGTTTAGGCTATAGTTTAGTTACAAACACCGTGCTAAAAGTTGTATATTTAAACAGTTTTTAACCAATTTTAACGACGATTTGACGACATATGTGTCACCTCAGTTCAAGATACAAAAACAGTGGATATGTATAAATTGACCATCATAATATTAGTTATAGATATTATAGTTTTGTATATACATTATAGCTTTTATAGATAGGCTACTGCAGAAGGTGGGGCCACCATCCGCCTATTGTCACTATAGCTTTCATAAATCACAAACGTTGACGAATTAGTCTCACTTAATATGATTTCAAGGCTTGTTTACAAGAATCCATCCACTCAATAGTACAAAAATATTATCCATACAACAGTATATTATATTATTACAGTGATACAAGCTTAGAGTGTGTAGATTTTGCCGAAAAGTATTGATATGGACGAACTCCCTAAGGGCTCTGCCCCACAGGCTGATTTTCAAAAGGCTACGCCTTGCATGTTTTGGAAGTTATTATTTGATTAATTTAGTGAACAACAGCTGGCCATGCAATCGACAATATAGTTTTCCTACAGTTACCTAACAATGTACATGTTCTCTCACTGATTTGAGAAAGCAAAGTGGCCAATTCGCTCATCAGTGAGACAATTTTAACATTGTCTCACTCTAATTACTTTGTCTCACTCCAGATTTGCAACGTGAAGGCACGAAATAGTGAGCGCGTAACATGCAGGCAACGTCATATGCGCGCTAAATGCGTTGGCAGCACTGGCTGTAAATCAGCTGGTCAGCTGTTGTACTGTTGTATTTGTCTCTTCACATTAAATGTTTTATTAAAAGTTCACTTCTGTGTAAAATAGGTTATGTTTCTTCACAAATTTATTTGTTCTATGGTAACAGTAGGAAAAGTATAATGTGCAACTCGAGTTCAAAGTACAATTGCCTCACTCGAGAAACCATTCCTCACTCGCCTACGGCTCGTGAGTAAGGATTTCTCTCGAGTGAGTCAATTGCTCACTTTTCTCACTAGTTGCACAAATAACTATTGTTTGCTTACATTTTTGTTTACTTATTTTTTTATTTACTTTCACGTTCTTAAAAGAGTCGCGGTGAATGGGCAGTGAAGCTATTTATAGCTGTTTGTTACAAGTGAGTAACTAAAGGTGTTCGAACCATGATGACTATGAGATTAACAAACCATGTATGTTGTTCGTTCCAAGAGGTTGTCACCGATCTTTAACAGATCGCAATTTCATTGAAAAGTATTAAAGATGTCGTGAAAGAGAGCTGCGTGTACAGGTACAACCTCGGCCAACCTTAGGACGTAAGGTATGAAGGTTCCACTGCCTTTAACATCCTTTCACATGAAAGTTTCTCGAACTTGGGCCCTTTAAATGAAATATAAAGTCAAAGTTGATTAAACTAATTTAATGGTGGTTTCTGTTCACCCGTGAATTCACGGGTAGAACCTCTTGTTTCAGTTTAAAGTGTGAATTGTAGGTTGCTTTGCTCGGGGAAAATCATTAGTCCACTCTGAAAGCAGTCTTAGTACTGTATTGGAGACACATAGATCCATTCCCAAACTCCACACGGCTCGTCTTTACTACGTCCTACACCATTTCCTACGTCATGGACCTGTTTCCCTCCATTTCCATAGGACTTTAGGATTGTAGATACCTTAATCTAATCGTTATTAACAGTTCCCACACTCCGAACAGCTCGTCTTTACTACGTCCTACACCATTTCCTACGTAATTGACCTGTTTCCCTCCCTTCCCATAGCATTTCAGAATTGTAGATACCTTAATCTAATCGTCATAAACCGTTCCCACACTACGGACAGCTCGCCTTGACTACTTCCTTCGCCACTTCCTACGTCACGGACCTGTTTTCCTCCCTTCCCATAGCATTTTAGGATTGTAGAAACCTTAATCTAATCGTCATAAACAGTTCCCACACTCCGGACTACTCGCCTTGACTACTTCCTTCGCCACTTCCTACGTCGCGGACCTGTTTTCCTCCCTTTCCATAGCATTTTTGGATTGCAAATACTTTAATCTAATCATCATAAACAGTTCCAACACTCCGGCTACTCGCCTTGACTACTTCCTTAACACCTTCCTTCGTCACGGACCTGTTTCCCTCCCTTCCAATAGCATTTTAGGATTATAGATACCTTAATCTAATCGTCATAAACAATTCCCACACTCCGGACAGCTCGCCTTTGACTACATCCTTCACCACTTCCTACGTCGCGGACCTGTTTTCCTCCCTTCCCATAGCATTTTAGGATTGTAGAAACCTTAATCTAATCGTCATAAACAGTTCCCACACTCCGGCTACTCGCCTTGACTACTTCCTTAACACCTTCCTTCGTCACGGACCTGTTTCCCTCCCTTCCCATAGCATTTTAGGATTGCCCATACCCTTATCTAATCGTCATGAACAGTTCCCACGCTCCGGACAGCTCGCCTTGACTACTTCCTTCACCACTTCTTACGTCACGGACCTGTTTCCCTCCCTTCCCATAGCATTTTAGGATTGCCCATACCTTTATCTAATCGTCATAAACAGTTCCCACACACCGGACAACTCGCCTTGACTACTTCCTTAACACCTTCCACCTTCCTACGTCGCGGACCTGTTTTCCTTCCTTCCCATAGCATTTTAGGATTGCAGATACCTTAATCTAATCGTCATAAACAGTTCCCACACTCCGGACTACTCGCATTGACTATTTCCTTCACCACTTCCTACGTCGTGGACCTGTTTCCCTCCCTTCCCATAGCATTTTAGGATTGCAGATACCCTGATCTTATCGTAATAAACAGTCCCCACACTCCGGACTGCTCGCCTTTACTACTTCCTTCATCACTTCCTACGTCACGGACCTGTTTCCCTCCCTTCCCATAGCATTTTAGGATTGCCCATATCCTTATTCAATCATCATAAACAGTTCCCACACTCCGGACAGCTCGCCTTGACTACTTCCTTAACACCTTCCTTCGTCACGGACCTGTTTCCCTCCCTTCCCATAGCATTTTAGGATTGCCCATACCCTTATCTAATCGTCATAAACAGTTCCCACACTCCGGACAGCTCGCCTTGACTACTTCCTTCACCACTTCCTATGTCACGGACCTGTTTCCCTCCCATCCCATAGCATTTTAGGATTGCCCATACCCTTATCTAATCGTCATAAACAGTTCCCACACTCCGGACAGCTCGCCTTGACTACTTCCTTCACCACTTCCTACGTCACGGACCTGTTTCCCTTCCTTTCCATAGCATTTTAGGATTGCCCATACCCTTATCTAATCGTCATAAACAGATCCCAGACTTCTCACTGCTAACCTTGACTACAATGTATCGAGTAATCTTCAGTATAATCTTTGCTAAATGATGTTTTTCCTTTTGTACTGTATTTGTAATTTGCTAGTATACTGTGGGCAGTTGGCTTATTATGAACACATGCTACAACTTCAAGTCTTTTGTTTACTTATCCTTGTTATTTAATTCAGCCAACAAGGTTACCTAGCAACCCATAAGACTAATGTTAAAAAAATGTGATTTTCAGTTTCATTTTTCTACGTAATTAGATTTTTGTTGGCAGTTCTAACTGCAGTAAACTCGTTTTTAGGCCAGAATTAAACTATTTACAACATTTGAAGAAAATCGTCGGAACCGTTTTCGAGATCTTTGTGCAAGCAAGCATACATACATACATACATACATACATACATACATACATACATACATACATACAAGCAAACATTGCTCGTATTAGAGTATAGGATTTGTCTTTAAATTAATATACATTTTATTGGGTTAGATTTGGTTTTTTATTTCCGTACATATTAAAAACATGTTTCGCAATACGAAAAAAAATACATAAAAATTAAATTTATAAGCCAGCAACTACACAAAAAAAAAAAATATTTCTTATAAGTAAGTGATAGATATATGTTCTACATATAGGCTATATTTGTTAGTAAACTGGAAAAATTTGAAAATCTTACCTAAAAAAATCAGCTCACAGTGGTGCTTTTTTTTAGTCTTTAGGCCTAGGCCTAAGCACATAGGCCTACTCTTATCACTTAGTCCTAATACACTTTCAAATAAATATTTACCTGATAATACATAGTTTAGCAAACAAATTATAAATAATTATCATACACTAACTCATTTTCAGAAACAAAATCACTTGTAAAACACAATAAAACTTTTAGAAACACACAACAATTGCCCTCAAACAGCACTCTTATGGATACAAACACAGATGATGCAATGCCACTTTTTCCAACAAAGTCGTACAAAACTCAAAGTAAAGCAAAAGCTCTTTCTACATGTAGCCCGACTCATCGTGAAACATCGTCTCATAGGTTATATGTGCCATTTGGATGATCAGCTGGCCAGTAAACATACATTTAGCAGACGTCCGATATATCGCACCGCGGTTGTTTAAATGTTCTAGACATAAACTCTCCTAAGATTTACAGACGAGTTGAATCAGAATCACGTCTAGGGGAGAATAGTTGGCTGGGTTTCCGTCAGATTTTCAAATTCAAACAGAAATCTAAGTGCTTTTAAAGGTGCTTTAAAGCAAGGTTACATAAAACATCAAACATTTTAGACCTAGTCTCATAGTGACAAACTTTTTATAAGACTGTGCTAGTAGGTTTGTGGTTTTACGTCAATTTGACTGAAAACTTACCTTTGGGAAATTGTAAATCAGCCGCATCTTCATCAACCAAATCAATGCTGCCAGCAGCCATTTAAAAATTATCTAGCCTGTAATAAACAAACACTGTGACTAGATAGGCCTATACAAAATATATTTTTTTATTGGATAATAGTAGGTAATGGTAGGCTAAGTAGGCCAACACGTAAATTTATATAGGTTTAACACCTTTTAATTGCAATCTTAAAATCCAAGAAAATAGACTCTCAAATAAGAAATATAGGACTAGCAGAAATATTACGATTTTAAATTTTAAATTGGGGTAGAACAAGGCTAAGCTACAGTACCGGTAATCAGATTCGACCCGTTTTACAACTTATGAACCAACTAAGTTAAAAAAATGTTAAATGTTAATGTTAAATGTGTAAAGGAAAAAATGATAACTTATTCTTGATTTTCTCTTTATTTTGACCCAAGGAATCACTACGCAAATTATGTTCGAACCCACAACATCACTGCCTTGGGCCCAAAGTCTGTGACGCTACCAACTGGGGCACCGACTTAGTTAAGTTAAATTATTACTAGAGGTTAAAATACCAAGTCCCCGATGAAAGGTGACCGGTTTCAACCCATCAAAAGGGTCATCATCAGGCGTTGAATGGACAATACAAAACAAAGAACAGTTAAAACACTTAAACACATTTTTTTTAAGTGTTTTAAATGTTCTTCGTTTTTATTTATTGACTTTATGACGACCTCTTCGGAGTAATTATGTGTCCATTCAACGCCTGATGATGACCTCTTTGATGGGTTGAAACCGGCCGCCTTTCATCGGTGACTTTTTTATCACATTGACGGATTATAAGGTATTTTAACCTCTAGTAATAATTTATATATTGTAATCAGGAGGCAAAAACAACAAAAATGAAGTTAGTTAACTTAATCCGCCACTGCTGTTTCAACATAGGCTAGACCAATGTACCTTAACCAAAATACTACTTAGGCCTATGTAATAATAATAATAATAATGTAGGCTAAATAATATTGTCACCCCATCGCAATAATTTCCGCACAAACAACCGAATGATTAATATCGATCTTTAACGGTATATCGATTGTTCGATAAATCGTTTGGTTAGTTCACGTTCACACAAACTTAGCTCAGGCTAAAACATCTGCATAAGTTAGGTTGCCTATGCTTAAGAACTTAACACCTCCTCCCCCTTTTCAAATCAGAAGGTTTGTTAGCTATAGCATGTTTACCTAGGTTATTCATTGCTAAATTATAATGCCAACATATATGGAAGTGTACACTCAATTTGAGTTTATGATTAATCTAATTTATTGACAAATTAGTTAATTAAATCTGGATGTATCTTTCAAGCCGGTCTGGTACAGTTTGGTAGCATTGAGTTGCCCACAAAATAGGTTAGGCGTTAGCCCAGAATCCCAGACATTATTAAGTTAAACATATAGGCGATTTACATACTATTCATCAATGTAAAATCTTTTTTTCTAAATTATAATACATAATTGAAATTATAATTTGGCGTAAGACTAGGTCTCAAATCTAAATTCAATTTCAAAGCCAAGACTTACTTCGTGTTTCCGTGTGGGTGACTTGACTTTGACTCTGTCTTTTTGATGGATGACTGCTCTGCTCTCTGTAGTCTGTGTTTGTTTTGTAGTGTTTGTGTTTGTAGTGTAGTATGTCAGTCTGTCCTCTGTCTGTCTCCGTCTCCGTTTGTCCAGTCACTCCAGTCTCTTCTCTCTGTACCTGTAGTAAACAACGATTGAATTGAACTGGACTGGAATTGAATTACTGTACTGAAATTGAACAGGTTTGAACGAGAACGAAATGTTTTATCAATGGTTTTATCTTTATCTATGACGAAACTAAAACTGATTCGAATTCAGAAAGTAGTGGTCCAGTCATTTTCCAGTTCAGTTCAAGATTCACATTTTAAACGACCATGACCAAACTATCTTGGATTTCCTGCCCATAAAGGCTGGTTGCCATATTACGGCATTGTTTACTAACATAAAAAGTTGCAAAATATCTCATTTAAAGCTATTGAAACCACCCGGATGTGATTTGCTATCTACTTCTTAATTTTAATTGTTATCGTTTTGTCAAACTACATAGATATATTGACTTAAACTGTAATTTTTTTTTCAAACTCTTAAGGCCAGGATTATACTAGGACGCTGGCCTCGGACGCTAGCACCCCACTTCCAGCCGAAATTGACGTGATTTGTGTTTGGGATGCTGGCCTCTCGGACTGCCATTTCATTTCAATGTTTTGTCACTTTTTGTTTATATCTATTTAAATAACATTAGATTTAACGAGTACCGTACCCAGGTTTGCTGCTTTAAGGAGGCTAATAACCAAGTGTGTATTTAGTAAAATATTAATAGCTTAGTATAAAACAAATTGGCCAAGTTTGATCAAATCCATACAAAATAAGCAAATTCCAATTAAGTTAACAATATTTTTTGTAAGAAAAACATGGGAATTTTTTATTTAAAATTTTTGCAATTCTTTCCGTGACTAATTACTGCACAAAAACATTTTAACATACCAAGTTAGGTATTTGTTTTTAAGCTCATTAAAATTGTCTAGAGAAATTGGGATATTGTGCGTTTTACGGGTCAAAAATGACAAAACCCCTTTTTTACCCCATAAAACCCCGTTCCAAAGGTCCACTCATGCTGGTTCGCGAACTCATTCAAGTTATCCTAGGTGCCGTTCACCTTTAAGCCAAGTTTCATCAAAATCGGACAAAAATTACTCAAGTTGTTTATCCCGCGAATATATATGTAATATTTAAATCTATATGAACTGATGGTGTTTTTCCTCTAGGGACATCAAATCGAAAAAGTAAATCGGACCCGGGTCCAGGTCTTACCATGCGACCTATGGTAATAGCGTATTCCCTATATTCGCGCACATGTCGAAAGAGAGCGTCTCGGATGCTAGCCTCCTAGTATAATGCGCCACATTTGAACAAATGCGGCAAATGCCCCACAACCGATTTTGTGCATCAAGGGAGGCGAAAAGTCACTGGACGCTCTAATTTCAGCCTCCCGGCCGGGAGGCACAAAATCGAGCGTCTGGTGGCTTTTTTAGCATCCGATGCTGGCATCCCTAGTATAATCGCCCCCAATTGAATTAATGCCCCGCTAGCGTCCTAGTATAATCCTAGCCTTAAGGATACAAACATCGCTAACAGTATACAGGGTGTCCCGGAACTCTCTACCAATATTTTAGGGCATTGCTCCTGGGTAAGAAACATACCTAAATATCATATTTAAACCGTCCTGAAGTCCTTAGTTACTCACACAGCCGCCATTTTTTTTCAGTTATTAATTTTTTTCTAAAGAATAGTTAAACATACGAAATGGAAACCTTGCACAAACATTTATAACAACTAGAGAAAGCTACAAAAAATATATGACGGTTTTAAAATTCATAAAACAAAATGGGAGCCATTTGAAATTTTTATATAATCAACGGTTTTTGAGTAATTAAAAAAACAAAATTTTAAATGGCCACCATTTTGTTTTATGAATTTTAAAAATCGTCATATTTTTTGTGTAGCTTTCTCTAGTTGTTATATATGTTTGTGCAAAGTTTCCATTTCGTATGTTTAACCATTCTTTAGAAAAAAATTAATAACTGAAAAAACAAAATGGCGGCTGTGTGAGTAACTAAGGACTTCCGGAAAGTTTAAATATGATATTTAGGTTTGTTTCTTACCCAGGAGCAATGCCCTAAAATATTGGTAGAGAGTTCCGGGACACCCTGTATAGTGTTTCCACAAGATTACCAAAGACAACAGAATCCTGATGCTTATCGGGTTGGGAAAATCCCGTTTATCTCGCATGTATTTCCCGTTATTTCAAGTGAACTTATATACAGGGTGAGTTTTAAATGAGTTCCCCCCCATACTTTTTCTACATTTCTTAAGATATCAACTCCGGACCACGTCAGATCATTGTAGTGTAGTAAGTACTTCATTTTTACTGGGTATAAATTTTTGGCCACCATTTGGATCCGCCATATTGGACACAAAGTTTTTTTCAAATGTAAAGGTAGGGTTGTGACCCATCGTTTTAAACTAGATTTTTATGCTGAATACGATGCTGCAATTCATTTTTAAAAATCTTGATCCATTCTAAAGTTATGAGAACTTTTAATAACATTATTTTTAACCCATTTTAACATTGTGCATTTAGAAACTAAGAACATAATCGCAAAATAGTGCTAGATAAAGATAAGTATACACCATATAATATACATAAATCTTTATCTAGCACTATTTTGCGATTATGTTCTTACATATGTTATGTTCTTACATCATGATGTTAAATTAATATTTTATACCAAATATATTTAAAGTAATCAAGTCAATAATTGTAAGATACTGTATCTATTCTATTTATATTTCAAAATTTACTTTTAAAATATGTAAAAGTACCGTTGTTAGTTTTGAACTTGATTTTGTGCCCTCAGGTATATATAACATTGACAAAGATCATAGTTTTGTTTACCTACCAATAATGAACATAAAAGATAAATAAAAAAATTAAATAATATAGTTACTATAATTTATAGTTGTGGTTTAAAATTATCATTCAGATTCAGCTTTAATCAATATTTTTGTGGTAAAATATTCTTACGATACTTTATTCATTTGGTAGTATCGATGTTTTTTAATTGGATATTATCTCAATATCAATATGCTTGTACTATCAAAAGATTGGTGGCATCAAAACGTCCCTAGGCGTCTTTCGGCTTTCTAAATAGTAATTATTAAAATTATTAGATCCAATACACGTAAGAGCTGCATAAAATCACTGCAAGAATCAACTATAATACAGAACTTTAGTTGCAGTTGACTAAGCTAACAATAATCCAAATTAAAAAGATATGCATTATTTATTACAATCATAAACAATAGCAAGGCTGTAGCCAGGACAAATTTTCGGGGGGGGGGGGGGGGGGTGGAGCACCCCCAAGAAGAATGGGGCTGTGGGTCCTCCCCCAATAGTTGTAACTTATTTTAGAGACAAAGACAACCCACTACCATTATTTCCCAATTTCAAAATAATGTTCCTTTTTCCAATGTTTCCTACATGTATGACATGTTTGCCGATTGGTGGGTCAAAGATAAACATTATAGTTACCAAATCATTTGTTTAAGATCCATATACAACACTTGCTGTTTAACTTGGTTAGTTAAAAAAATATATATGGTTAGAACTAAAAATATATATATGGTTAGAACTAGAGGAAACCGAACAAGGCAAATGGATTGGAACAAAGCCCAGTTATTATCTTGTGCCACTCAAGGTCAAATCAGAATTGATTTATTTAAGTTATCTGCAGGTTTATCTGCCAGTGAGTTTTCTGGGTTGTTGCCAGATGATCTGTGTGTGATGAAAATTACCAAACTTTCCAAATTATAAGTGATTTTCCTATAATGAGTGATCATAAACGTTTCTCTCAGCAACTATGTCTGTAACCAGTTTGGATTCAGAATCTGTATACTCGAATGATACAGTGACGTCTGGGAGTGTGCAGGAGCGTAGCATTGTGCCAGTGGAAAATTCTTTGAGCAGCAACGAGGAAAACGGAGAAGCATTTAACCAAAAATTTCCTAAGAGCCTTGTGAACGCTAACCTATCGGGATGTGAATCAGTGGAAATTGGGACTAAATTCGTTGCAGACAATATAACTTTTGTAATTGGAAATTCCGACGCTAGGTGCCAAAACCAAAGTGTTGCAAATTCACTCTTCGATGCGCTCAATATCAAAAAAGATTTGAGTAAACAAAACAATATAAAATTTTATTTTAGGTTTGTAAATATATTTTTTATTTTATTACTTCTTTTATTGTTTTACACAGCTTTTGATAAAATTAGCAAAATCAGTGAATCGGCTAGCTTCCATAATCAAACGACGACAGTGGTTTTTGTGAACAATACACCCACAGTGCAGATTAGCTCAACGTCTACAGAGGCGACATATGTTTCTCGAAAAACAAGTTTTGAAGGAGTTCCAACCACAGAACAAGAAATTAAGAGTGATAACGGTAACACCACTACAACCAGTACTGACATTATCATCCTCACAACTGATTCAACCGTTGCATCTTTGATTTTTCATACAACCTCTTTCATTAATGAAGATACTTCAGAACTAACAACAGGAAACTTTACAAACTTGATTACCGAACACCGACCACCATTATCTCACTCAACAACGCTACATACTTCAGCGGTTGAACCAGCGATTGAAAGCACAACAGTTTTATTATCTACCGAATTTTTCACAGATCAAACTTCAATTGAGCCTCAAAATACAAAAACTCCCACACCTCCTATTTTTTCAACCTTAACTCAAAGTACAGATACAATTTTAGAGACAGAAATTACTTCAACTCAACCTACAATACTTGATAACTCAACTACCTCAGTTATGAGTGAGAAGACAACTATCAAATACAAGACAGAGCCCCATTACAATGAAAGTATTTTAATTGTATCAAAAATTTACAGAGGCCTTACATTAGGAATAATCCCTATACAATATTATTCAATTGGACCATATGGAAAAATAAATAAAGTTGTAATAGAGATCCACAATCACTGTGAATACATTTCAACGTGTGAAAAGGACATTAAAAATATTTATCGCTATCCTAATATCGGATACAGTTTTTTACTTTTAGAAAGTGTTGTATATGTAGCTCAAGGATGGGTTGCTCCTATTCAATCCTATAAAGATGTGGGTACTAAGACTTTCACCATTCTTATTATGTTGAGAAAGAAATCAGAAATTTCGGAGAAACAGATGTATTTGTATCTTTTATTGATTAATGCCTCGAGCCGATGCGGTTATCTTGAAACCAACTTTACAGTGACTTTTGAGAACAGCGGCAAGAACTATGTAAACTATCTTGGCTACGATAAGTTTGTAGATATTGTCAAAAACTCTGCAGAAAATAAATTCTATGTAGACGATAAGGATTCATTTTTGATGGATAGTCAGAAACTATCGAAGAAAATTAGAAAGCCTTGCTTTGGTTTCTCGGAAAGTTGTAACAACACTTGTGATAACCAGGACTGCTTGAAAACAGTTTGTGATGATTTTGAGTTTTGTATTGTTCAGTGTTTGTGAGACTTATCGAACACTTCCAAGTTAAATTATCTGTTTGCATCATAAAAAAAATAAATGTAAGTACAATACAGTAATTTTTAAACAAAACCCTTATTTGGTGCGATTTCCTCAAACCTTTAAGTAATTTTCAATTGATAAAAAAATATTTTACTATAATATACGGTACCAAAGATTTTCAATGCAAAAAAAAAAGTTTATAACCCAAACAGTTAGTTAAATTTAATGTGTGTTATAAATTGTCATTAAGCTATCAAGGATTGTTGCTAAGCTTAGTTCAACTAGTTACAAATTAATTCAAACATAGATCAGTAAATTGTTAATAAGAAAATGTATTCAATGAAAAGCTAACAATATTTGGTGACTAGAAATACAAAAACTGTTTTATGACTGTATGCAAAATGCCAGGTATTCCAAAATTTGATTTACTGTAAGTGAAAAAGGACCAATTTCACAAATATTGGAAACAAATCCCTATTTTTAAAACCGAAATAGATAGAAATATTATGTTTGTGGAATTGATTGTTAACATAGGTTCCGCAATTTTTTACATCAACAATATTTTTTTACCCCTTAAACAGGGTAGGGGGTGGAGGTGACTTATTTTTTAAAATAACAACCCCTATTTAGTAACCCCTCATTTTGAAGGGTTTGTCAAAAGAAAAACAATGACGCAAACCCGAGGTAGAACTAGATACAAAGAAATTCAAACATAGATCAGTAACTTTATTAGCTTCTTATGATTAGCAGATTGTGTATTTTGTGACAACACTTGTAACTTATACTTTCACATGTTGATAATGGGACTTTGCTTTGCCTGCATTGTTAGTGTAGAAAGTTCATATTAGATTTGCAGTGCCATCAAGCATAGTGTAAGTACTTCTTGTATTCATAGCTGTTTTACAAATTTGTCCTAAATTTATGTTAAACACGTTATAGGAAATCAAATTGTTAATGGTGTGTAGTTGTTTGTTTAGTACTTAGGAATTGTCTTCCTTATTAACAATTCATATTTGGTTGGTTTATAAAGAAAACTTAACATTACCTTCAGTAAATGAGGAAAACGACCATTACACCACAGTTATTATTATTTTTTAATAAAGCTTTGAGAAAGATGACATTTTTTAGATTAATGTTCCTGGATGCCAAAGACCCGATATAAAATAATTCAAGTTGGTCTTGAGCTTTAAAAGATGGTTGGAGTTGATTAAAAACTTTCTTGCATAGTTTAGGATGATTTTAAATGAGTTCTTTTAGGCCAGGCACACACAGGCAATTTTGAGTCACGCAACAGTTGCCCGACTAAAATGTTCAACATTGTTTTAAATGGGAGTGCGCACACCAAGGAAACAGTCTGGGGACAGTCGCGCAACTGTTGCAACCGATGTTCCCGAACCCAATTTGCCAGCGACTGCTCTGCGACTGAATTGTTGCGGGACTGTCGCTCCAGGTTTGGTATCCATTGAACCAAGTGTAGATGCGCACACATGCAACTAAATTGTCACTGTGTAGCTAGTCTCACCCGAGGAATTCAACTACTCGTGGCCAGATCTGTCACTATAGTTCAACCGCTAGAAAATGACCTGGGCGCTAATGCTAAACCAATGCTGGAGGAGGTCGTTTTCTAAGCGGCCGACCTATAGTGTTTGCTCTCTTTTTGTTGTGTGAAGTTTTCAGAAAACTACTTAAATACGAGCTCTCTAGCTCAACTGCCGCTAGACTTCAGAGTCTCCGGGTGGGTTGCGCAACAGTCCCCAGATTAGTCGGGCAACTGTTGCGCGACTCAAGATCGCCTGTGTGCGCCTGGCCTTAAGTGCCGGTAAGTAATTTTATGATAAACTCATAGGAAAGTATGTACCAGCTGCTGTTTAGTTGACCATGTTGAGAGACAACTGTTTCTCGAGTTGATTACTTATAGTTAAATACTTATATTTCGGTAAGATTGTATGGTTCTTTTTTACAGCTTTCCTACAACTTAAAACAATGTAGACATATAACGCAGCCTAAATTAATAATTTGCTAGAAATCCATTGATACCACATATATAGAGAAGTTATTCTTTTTGATGGTTCCAAACTGGACTAAGCTGTTCCTGATTGTTGGGCTGGCTAATGTTCCTGTTGATAAATGACCCTCCTGAAACAGCTGATCTTGGTCAGTAACAAAGCTACACAGATCATCTGACACTATCCTTCACTCATATTTGGGTAAAAAAATGCACCTACGTGTTGTATTGATAATATAAAACTTCTCATTGTTGTCTGTCAATGACCTTGACTGTTTACAGTTATCTCAATATAAAATCGTTAATGTTAATCAGCTGTGTCCTTGTTTGAAATTCGACAGGACAGAGCATCTAGGGAACACTAACAATACTACTTCAATTATCCTTCAAAGTGATCATTATTTCCTAACTACGCACGTGTGGTTCCTTAATCGCATATTCATAAGATCTCCCAAAATTAATATTTCCTGATCTTTTGCATCCAGCTGCCAAGTGTATTGGGTGTTTGTTTCTAATAGTCTCTGTTTCTGTTAACCATACTCTTCAATTTATCTGTTACTTTTTTGCTTTATTAATGTGGTATGGTTGTTAAAATTTAATTTGATTATTATATATTTTTTAACGATTAATATTTTTGTGTGAAAATTAAAATAGGTACTGAGTTATAATGTTTTTCTTTAATTTAATATATGTATTTTGTAGGTTCCAGTTTGAACTTCAAAAGCTATCAATCTTGAATGAACAATGTGTCTTTAGTTTTCTTCTCTGCTGATATTTTTAGGTCTTAAAAATACCTTGAAGCCCAACAAAGCGTCAGATGTTATTCACTTACCTACATTGGTATTTCTATTTTGCAGATGTGCAGTTTATGGCATTGGCTGATTTTAGTTTTTCTCCTGGATTTGAGCTGTTCCGCATACAACCCATTCTTTGGTATTTATTGTCTTCCATATTTTTTATTATATTAAACAAATAATTATGGAGCTTTTATACAGTTTCAACACAGAATTAAAGCTTTGAGGTGGTTAATTCTAAATAATTAATTTAGGCTTTTGCATCAGAAAAAGATACAAATAAATGAAGCAGCAAATTTTATTGAATGTAGTATAATTTCTCAATTTTGAGATTATCTTTAGTGACATGGATTTTTATGACATTTGAGCTTATCAACTGCAGTGTTCTAATTGGCTGTTCCTTAACACTTGACAGTAGAGTGCTATTCATATATTGATGCATCGAGATATAGAAAATGGAAATAATCAGCTTTTAGTTTTAGACGACTGCACATTATGTCACCGCAACTACCATAGTTGTGTGAGTTTTTAGTAAATACAAAATGTCATTAGTTGCAGAAAATGTGTAAACTTACAATACCGGTACTCATATTTTACACATAACTGATTATTACTAGGATTGCTTTCAGAGCGGTGAAAGCCAGTTGAGCGGAGAAAACTTGATTTAATATTTGGGTAACTAACTAAATAAATAGAAAAAAACAATATACTAATGCTTTTTTATTGATTCAAATTTTAATAATTTACCTCTTGACTACATCTTGATGTGATTCAGATAGGCTACCTCTTGCAAAAGTAGATTAAATTACAGTAGTTGGGACTATGATAATAACATGGAAAACGGGTATTAAAGTAAAAAAGAGGAGGGAAATTTTACATTTAAACTCAACTGTACAAAAAAAAAACAGTGGACTTCATTATGACCCTGGCAATCGGTAAAAAGTATTGAAGTATAAAAAACAATAAGTATAAAAAACGAACATTTAAGTATAAAAACATGAGGGGAAATTTGAAAGTCAACTGTGCAACATAAACATTAAATTTGTCTTCATTTTAACCCTTCCAATCGGTTGAATTGGTTTTAATATTGGCCTTAATAAAACATAACACGAAAAAGGTAGGCCTGTTTTAACTTTAAAACACAACCGTAAAATACTTTATACTCAAATTAATTGAAACACTTCTAAATGACTTAAATGGACTGAATTATCAATTGTATTTTTATGTAAAACAAAAAGCTTAACTGCTAAAAATACTATTGAACAATTAAACATGGCTGAAATGTAGGCATAATAATAACAAAAGTGAAAAGTAAACATTACATCAGCTGATTTATGTGAAAACATAATAATAATAGAAGGGAAGACATGCCAGAGACAATGTAGCTTTGGTCTCCTATTACGTCATCCTATTTTGTCACAACGTTGGCCTTATCTAAACAACTCAAATTAATTAGCCTAATACAGAAATTTCTTTACTATTAGCGAATTTCCCTATAGGGAAGTAGCTATTACCGTAGGTCTCATGGTAAGACTTAGGCCCGGGACCGGTTTACTTTTTCATTTTGATGTCCCCAGAGGCCAAAAACACCATTCGTTCAAATTTTTATATGTGTATATATATATATATATATATATATATATAGATTTATATATATATGTGTCCGTGAACACGATAACATGAGTAATTTTTATCCGATTTTGATGAAATTTGGTTTGAAGGTGTAAGGCGGGATAAACTTGAATGAGTTCGCGATCCAGCATGATCGGACCATGGAACAGGGTTTTATGGGGTAAAAATTGGTTTTTCTCACTTTTGACCCTCAAAACACAAAATTTCCCAATTTTTCTCTAAACCTTCTTAAAGAGCTTAAAAAAACAAACAATTCAGTATATCAAAGTGTTTTTGTACGGTTATTGGTTACGGAGAAAAATAAAAAAATTGTAAATTTAAAATTCCCATGTTATTCTTATGGAGAATATTGTAAAATGTTGTAGTTTGCTTGTTTATGGATATCTTTTGTTCAAACTTGGCAAATATATTCATTTTCTACTACTGTAAGCAATAATTATTTTACTTAAAACACACACTTTATTAGTTTCCTTGTAGCAGCAAACCTAGGTACTCGTTAAACCTAATGTTATTTAAATAGATCAATTGAAAATCAATTCAGCCAAATGAAAATTCGCTTAGACGGCAGGTTTGCTGCGGCGGGGGTATTTTTAGCGTATTCTTCGTTTTTATTGGGTGTTTAAAGTATATTTTTATTTATCCACGCTGTAATAATAATTATACGTCATAAACATATTATTTCGTTTTTTAATCACGAATACTCATAAACCCCGACCTACATTCCCCACATGCCTAAATTAGATCAGTGTTCAATCTGCGTTTTATTAATAAGTGTAATAACTTACAGTACCGTCGATGTAATTCAACATAATATAACCTGTGATGTATTATCGGATTAAATATCGATTTCGATGCGGTTCGATATATCGCTTATTAAATCCTGATTTCTAATTGGCTGTTTCTAATCAGCTGGCAACACAAATAGGTTCCCAAGAAAGTAGTCACTGGTCCGTATCCCTCCGCTCCTTGTTTATGCTCCGCGCATTAAGAAAGTAGTTCCGTATATTTTCTCGATTTTCAGTGAATTCCGCGCCTTAAAAAAATGTTTTAACGGCATTTTCTTGTTTATTAAAATCATAGGAATGGTTTAAGAACGTTTAAAAGAAAAGTCTAGAAAGTTCAGAAATACCTTATGGTTCTCTTGTTTACATTTTTCTTGTAAACAAAAAACTGTCATATGGCTACTTTAGTCCCATAAGCCTAATGTTAAAAATTGGAAATTTTAAGTTCGTTTTAAATTGCATTAGCATTATCTAATTGAAATTTGTTTGTTTAAAAACCATCTCACTATTAGTCTAAGTAATTTTGTTAAGTTTGGCTGAAATGCGTTCAGCCGTTATTGAGTGATGTTTCTCTATTTGTTGCATTGAAGTTGATCCAAAAGAGCTACGCTCGCTTCGCTCGCTCCGCTCAATTAGACACATTTTTGTTTTACTTCACGCTGCAGAAAAAGGCAAATTAAATATTCTTTTAACCATATGAGTAAAAATCAACTCTATAGCTAAAATATTGTGTGTTCACACTATTGGTTTGTAAACATAAAATCTGTTATTTAAATGGTAGTGATTAGAGCTTCTATTTTGATATTAGAATACTTTATTGAAAACTAAGTACCCTCTTAAAATTCATTTTATTAGGCTGCAACTAGTTTAAAAATTGATGTCTTATTCATGCGTTGTTTCTATAAATTACAAATTCAATAAACTTTTTAAATTTAAAAAAATTATCTGACTGAATTTAATTATAGGTTTTGGCGAAGAGAAGAAATTTAAATTCAGCAAAAGTTATAATTTAATCAGTCAGATGATTTTTATTTATTTAAAAAGTTTATTGTATATGTTATGATAGAAACGACATGAAAATGGCATAAATATTGACACTAGTTGCCTAGTAAAATGAATCGTAAAAGGGTACTTGGTTTTCAATAATGTATTCAAAAATCTGTTAGGCCTATACAGGGTGGTAAAAAAGTCCCAGGACAGTTAAATATTTTAAACAATAATGTAGATAGAGCTACAATACTTGGTACAAAGTTACAGGGCATAAAACTCTATTTTAACACATATTCAGTGATCCAATAACTCTTCAGGGGGACGGACCACAAGGCGTCGGAAGAAAATCTTAAACGGAAGCATAGGTCAATATGCACATCAAATTAAAGGTCTTTTTTAGTAGAATACAATGCCTCAAACCGCACTTCAAAAGGTTGATCCTGCGCAAAATGGCAGATGTTCAAAGATTTCTTGAATCCGCCATTTTGAATCTTTGAACGACTGCCATTTTTTACTCAGGTTTTCTTTTGAGCTTGAATTTACGGCATCGTAATCTACTAGTGAAGACCTTTAATTTGATGTGCATATCGACCTATGCTTACGTTAACAATTTTCTTCCGATTCCTAGGGCTGTGCCCTATGAGGAGTAAGCGTATAATAGCAATGTAAATTAAATGAATCTTTGAACAACTGTCATTTTGCGTATGATCAACCTTTTGAAGTGCGGTTTGCGGAATTGTATTCTACTAAAAAAGACCTTTAATTTGATGTGCATGACCTATGCTTCCATTTAAGATTTTCTTCCGACTCCTTGTGGTCCGTCCCCCTGAAGAGTTATTGGATCACTGAATATGTGTTAAAATAGAGTTTTATGCCATGTAACTTTGTACCAAGTATTGTAGCTCTATCTGAATTATTTTTTAAAATGTTTAACTGTCCTGGGACTTTTTTACCACCCTGTATATAAATAACTCTGTTGAGGGAGAACATTCCAAGCCCTCAAAATTTTCTGGGGATTGAAGTTCCTCACCCCAAAGTCTGAAATTAGCCACTAATTTGGCTACAACAATTAATTACTATCGGAATAGTCAAAGCTGTTACAATCCAAGCAAAGAAACTTTTAAGAAAATTAGGGTTTGTTTTAAGCATAACAAATTATTACTGGTGACTATAACAGATTTAAAGCCGGAAATTAAATAAAGATCCAAAATTTTCATTGAGAAAACAAGTTTGCTTTAAAATGCTTAAATCAGATTACATTTTAAAATTTGTAACAATATAGGTAATGTCTTGCTAGCATATGTACACTTATCTATGAAAAATTCAATATATAAGTAAGTGTTAAGCATTATTAGGTGACATGTAATTAGTTGGTATGATGAGTGTACATTAAGTTTTTTTTATGTTGGCAGCCCTGCAGAAATGGCCTCTAGAAGTGCCGCATTGGTTTCACCGAGTATTTTCTACTCCCGATACGCCACACTTCTACTCACCCTCATTACAATCTCCCATCAACATAAGGAGCAGTCATGCAGCGGTAATTATTTTATGTAAAATTCTAGTGGAAAGTCTTACTATCTAGTACCATCCTCTTGTCCTTAAGAATGATCCTTAAGAACAATAATTAATCTCTTTGTTGAAAAAGGATAATTTTATTTCTAAACTTAACTTTTGCTTTTCTCTTGACTACATTAGTCCATCAGTAATGTAGTTGAAAAAATATTTTTTTAAATAAAAAAAAATAGGTCGATTGATTTAGAACTAAAAAAAAAACACAGATTTGCCTCATAGGCACCTACAATAAGAGATACAGCTTTCTGAACTATGGAGTAGCAAATTTGCTAGTTAAAATCCCCTATTATTATTTTATACCAAAAACATGTTTGGGCATATACTACAAGTAAATATAACAATTTATTTGTATCTAAAGAAGTCATAATTTTACAAAAGTTTATTTCTTAATTCAGGTGCTGCGACTTCCTCCACTTATTTTCAAAGACTTATTTAGAGATGAAGTTGAACTACAATGCCAAAACACTGGCACAACTGGTAAGTGATGTTTCTAAACTCTCTAATTTACTTTCTCCTTATGGTCTCAATAAACCCACAAATATCCTGATTCAATTACGGATCTTGTTTCGAATTTTGACTCCGGCAGCACATCCAGAATAAAACCAAGTGTGGAAATGACCTCCGACTAACCTGGGTTACTCTTAACCAGTACAGCCAAGCTCAAATCAGTTATCGTAAAATTATGGGGTGAAGTATTTGAGGATATTATCTTTTGGCTGATGCATAATTTCAAACCCAAAGCTAAGTATTGCGGGTTATATCCCAAGAAAAGTCAATATCCCTTTAATTGTTCTAATCTAGCTTCAGCTGTCCATGATCATTATGGGCGTTTAGCAAATGATTCTGGCTTAAGAACAAATTGTACTTAGTAACAATGCTGTATAATCTCATTTGTTTACAGCTCATGATTCACTTGTCTTCGTCTTTAAATATGTGTATGTTGGTGTGTATAAGGTTGTCCACTTATGATCCAAGTTTATCCCACTGAATTATGCACATTTTGGCGACTCCACCATCATCAGATCTGTTTATGAACTCCTGAGAAGGTGTATCAAAAGTTCACAAACAAAACTAAACACTAGTCAACTATTTGACATGTTTTACTCAACATGCGAGCTTGGGCAAGACAGTATTGAGGTGTGACAGACGTGTGGAGACTCGATTATAGAAGGACCACAGATCCTGGTAGTGATCTGGTTCTGACTTTGTCCTGATGACGTGAGTGAAGCATTGTTTGGGCTAGTCTGATTTTATAATTGTAAAAAAGAATGTTGGACTGTAGGGTAATTTTGTAATTCAACAGATTATTTTTACTGGTTTTAATGTATTTGCAAATCTTGAATTGTTCCAATGCTGTCATGGTTCTGCCTTTTTGGCATATATGTGAGGGCTACAAATTTTCTTTTATTTCAGTGTAGATTTTATTCCTGTGTAGGTTGATGGTAGATGGTAGCCGAAATTGGATTTTTAGTCACTGGTTTTCTTAGGAAGGTGTTTAAATCTTTTAAAGGACCTGCCAATTTTTCCAATGTGAAATTTATCATAGTCATTGCAAAGCGTTTTTACAGCCCTATTTTCTGTTTTTACAAATATCCTGTGATTTTTCAAAGAGAATGTTTTGGTGTTTTTTTGATATTTTGAAAGTGTCTTTATCTTTTTTTCATTTCATATTTTAGTGTGTGGGAGATGTCAACCCCAAATCCTGATGATTGCATTTGGTCTTAGTAACTCTTAACACAAATTTTGAAAAATAGGCTGATTTATTATTATTTTATACAATTTAAAAAATTAATATGTATCTATAACCTTACTGTTAAGACAAATCACCACTGAATGGGGTTTAACAAGTACCCTATTTCCGATTTCAGTTGAGTTTGAACTACCAGAACATACTTCATGGAGACCCAAATTACTTGGAGGACCTCTGTTTAATGAAGGTGTGTTTGAGTTTGACAACCTTCATATTCATTGGGGTGCTCGGGACTTCATTGGCGGAGAACATAAAATAAACAGCAGAAGGTATGTGCACAACTTGTAATAAAATGTAATAGGACACTCTCTTAAATATGGAAGGACACTGAAAAAGGTTTGGAGTTTCACTAAAAAAAAAAACAAACCTCAGTTTTATCACTCCATATAGAAAACCATTGTAAAAACACTTATGAAGTTGTTATACTAACTTGTCAACAAAGAATATACTGTCTATTACCATCTATTACAATCCCCAAAATTCACTCTACTTTTGTGATCAGAAAAAAGCATATGATTTTTTAACAACATTCATCTGTTTCTTTCAGTGTTTGTATACAATTACACCTAAATACATTCACAAAATTGTACTAAATTTTCAGTGCTTATAAATTATTTCAAAGGAAGTCTTCAAAATACTCTTGTAAAATAATGAAATTGACATTTGCTGTGTTAGTGAACAGGACCAAAACAAAATATGCAAAATGTAAATAATTTAGTAGTTAAAACACTAACATCAGACTCATCAGGTTATATTATCAAAGCAGTAAGTACCACTACTGCCGGACCAGGCGGTTTGGTCATCATTCACACTGAGGAGGAAAAGCGGTTTGTTTTTGTGAAAGAAAGTTCAGATTTTTTTGCTCCGGAAATTCCGCCCAACATCGTTCATGTTCCGGTGTTCCCTACCGGAGTGATCAAACCCTCAAGCAGTGAGGCTAGCACAAACACTGAGGTTCCAAATAAAGTGTGTAGTAGTTGTCAGACAAGCCCTCCTGAACAGGGGCATCCCCCACCATCTTCTAGTTCATCCCCGTCAACAGGACCAACTCCGTCGAATCCCTCCACGTCCCCACCTCCAGGTTCAAACCCCTCCAGTCCTTGTACATCCCCGCCTCAAGGGTCAACACCCCCTAACCCTTCTAAGCCTTTGCCTTCAAAACCCCCTTCTAATCCCTGTACCTCCCGTCCTCCAGGTACAAATCCTTCTAACTACCAAGGACAAGGATCAGGGAAATCTCAACCACCAGCACAACCCAAAAAAAAACCCGCCAGAAGAAGGCAATCAAGAAACAGCAGTAGATCATGTGGTGTCTCCGAAATTTCCTCTGGTACTTCGGAACTCAGTTCGAGCGAATCCTGCAGTGACGGAGAAGAACATAAAATACAAACAATTACTATCGATATAGTTGGTAAGAGTCAAAACTAAAAATGACTAACTGTTACGCAGCCTGGAGTAAAAAAACTCTTACGTTTCAACAACTTGAGGATCTGCTTGCAATGTGGTGTCTTGAAACGGAGGAGGAAGAGGAAGTTTTCCATAGAATGGCCAGAGATCTTAGGCAACGAGAAGTAATTGTTCGTCTCAATCAAAAAAAAGTTGAAGAGCTTTTACAAACGTGTAAAGAGTTACAAGCAACTCAAAAAATTTTAAATTGCCAAGTTCATGATCTTTGTTGTGATTTGAGACCATTGGAAGATAAAATTTGTTGCTTGGAGTTGTTGACTTGTAACACTCCGTTTGTCGATTATCGAAAATTCAATCTCTACAGCATGTTTGAGTGTCTGTTTGTTAGGATAAACCAATTGAGATCACTTGCTCAAGACGTTGCAATATTATTGGAAACTCAAGAGGTAATCAGGAAAATTACAACCATTCTTAGTCTTGATGAGAAGTTCCTCGGTGGACTTTTGAAGAAAATAGAATTTGTGGAATGTGAACTATTACGTATTTTAGTGGCACATGAAAAGTTTCCTCATGTACCTAAAGTACAACTCAAACCTGAAAGTTTGTTTTCATCCCCATAGTTGCAAATGATTTGTCATCCACTGTGTACGGTACTGTTTAATTTTTATTAAACTCAATAAATTATTTTTGTTTGATGTTCAGCAAGATTTTTTTACAATTTATTTAGTGTAATAGAAATACACTTAAAGAGCTGTATTACAAATACATAAAATCACAGCGGCTTTTAATAGAATATTAGGCTAGTGTTTTTTTTTGTTTTTTTTACCATAGCCTAGTAGTACATTATGGGTTTAGCAAAAACGATTAATGTTCCGTGAATAAGGGTTGCTGGGGTAACTGTGTTATAAATTGAAAAAGGTAGCTACTTGACTAAGTTTTTATTTAAATACTAGCTGTAACCCGCGGGCTTTGCCCCGTTTAACTTCTTAATTTTCAAGATGATCTCGTTCGCATGGCTCAATCACGTCCTGGTTGAAGTTCGTTCGCTACGCTCACTCACCTTTAGGTTGGAGCTCGTTCGCTACGCTCACTCACCTTTAGGTTGGAGCTTGTTCGCTGCGCTCACTTGCCTTCAGGTTAGCTCGTTCGCTACGCTAACTCGCCTCCAGATTGAAGTTCGTTCGCTACGCTCACTCACCTTTTGGTTGCAAATTAGCTGTTGTCATAAATGTAAAAGAAATAATAGTGCTGCACCCTGTTGGTAATCCTTGTAACTTTAATGCTATTGAACATCATAGAACAGAACCAACTTGTTTAATTGAAACAGCTGTTAAGATTCATTAATTCCATTTCTCATAAGGTTAACATGGGAAACTCCAGAGCCACTGGGGCGGAGCCGATTGAACGGATCACGAAATTGATGGTGTATAAACCTATTCCATGAAATTCTACACGTATGTACCAAGTTTCGTGGCAATCGGTTCAGCGGTGTCTGAGTTTATCAGTGCCAAATATACCAACATCCTCTTTTATACTTATAGATCTAGATATCTTACTGGCTAAATGTTTAACACCCTAGGTAGCAATACCACTTAATTGATATCAGCCATCTTTAAATGGCCATTTTTTAGAATTTTTTTATATTTTCCAAATATGTTATTTTCTTATTCTGCATACTTTTCTGAGTATATGTGTAAATTTTAATGTCAATCTGATAATTTTTTATGGAAAAATAAATCTAATAAAATGTCAGGTACCGCAGTTACACGAAATATCAGAAAAATTCTATTTATAGGTAGGCCTACTCTAATATTTTGGTTTGTTGTTTATCAAAATGTTTTCAGACATATATGGCCCATAATAAAACAGGCATCCCTTTGATGTCACAAATAAATAAAAAATTAATAAATATTCGTATATATAACATCTATGTAAAAAAAGCCTATGGTATTGCCTAGTGGCAATATGCCGGTATAGGAGCTTTCCTGTGTAGGCCTCAACTTTGAACTCCGATTCCCAAAAGTTGGATTATCCGTGTTTCTTGTTAAAAAAATTTGAATAACTTCTGAAGTATTATACATCGAATTATGACATTTTTACCACCATTTCTTTGTTATATGACCAATATTTTGTCTTATGGAAAAATCTCTAACTTTAAACTACCGTAACCGTAAAAAAGTGTTTTATATAATTTAGATAAAAAATAAATAAAGAGTGTTTTTTGTTTGTTTGTAACTTTTTATCTAGATATTTTATCTTATTTTCCATAAGATGAAAGTTTCTTTAAGTTGTAATGAACAAAATAAAAAAAATCATGTCAATTGGTTAAGAAGGAAAAAATTATTCAAAATTTAAAATATGTCGGAAAAAATGTTAAAAACCTTAACATTTCAAATTATAAAATACATGAAAGGGTAAAAAAAAAGAATTCCACCTGGAAACCTTATTCCTAACACTAATAAAACAAACAAAAAAGTTATTAGCCAAATTCACCAAAAAGATGAAAAAACATAATTAAGGTGGCAGATTGCCTTCAATACATAAAAAATCTATTAAATATTTTCCTACTAAATTGAAAGTATACAGAAGGAGTACGATACAGGCATTGACATAAAAAAATAAATGTTCGAGCAATGGCGCACCCAGGGGGGGGGGCTTTGCCCCCAAAAACCTAGGGTTAACTCTTTACGAGGGTCAGGAGTCAGCTGTAAATACGTAAAATGTTCACTAGTTTTTTAAATATCATTAACTTTAAAACTATTCTTACAACAAGATTTAAATTAAATACAGCAAGGAGCACGCGTTTTGTAACAAGTATTTATGCAGACAGACAGAGACAGCACAATGCTCACTTGACCTTAACGCACTCGCACTGTGTGCTGTGTGTAGTTGACAATCGTTAAATTTTGGATCTGAGTACAAGATTGAATTTTTTTGTACAGTGTTTGTTGTGATGTTATCAAGTCAAGCTGTGTTTGTAGACTGAGTGGACTTGCAGCTTTGAATATTCACAGAGAAATTGAAGTCACTAGTACGGAGGTAGTTTCTATTCTCAAAAGATCGTCTAGACATCTAGATTTGGTTTTGTAAATCTGTAACTTTAACTTACATCTAATTTGTTCTAATTATATTTACACAGCTAAAATTATAATCGTATTATTTATTCCCTAAATACCAATGTTGTTTTTGTATAAAACTCAAAATCACTTGTAAATAAATCAGAAAGTTGGTCAATAAAAAATGTTTTTCCACAGTAAAAAAATCTCTTTATTCGTCCCTAAATAGCCTAAAAACCCCCCAGACCCCCGGCAAAGTTCATACTCAAGGAGCCCCCCCCCCCAAATCAAAAGTCTGGGTGTGCCCCGCCTGTGTTCAAGAAATGTACATTCGGTTAGTTTTGCGATGACTACTTCCTCAAAAGTATAATCACCCTTTTTAAATAACCCATTTTATTTTTATCTCAATTCTTCAACAATAGATACCTCTATTATTTAATTTCATAAAAGTACAATGGCATTAACAATATTTTTGTAGAAAATCAACAGAAAAAATAAAAATCCTATTTTCTCTGATATATAGACCACGACACAACTACATCTCATTTAATTTCAATAATATTGTTTGTGTACAACTAAATTCTACAGTTTTGGTCTTATCTGCTTTAAACCAATTAAAAACTTTTTGACACACATACCAAAATTACTATTTAACAAACCCCCTGGGCTTAAACTCAGTTTCAAATTTCATCAATGGTCATATTGAACAACATAAAATGCGTTGGTGTTACATAAGTGTTCTGATAATTAAACCCGTATATCTAAAGACTAGTGTAAATTGAGCCTTTATTAGAGAAGTAAAAAATTAATCAAACAGATTAGGTTTGTTAGAAATAGCATAAAACAAAACAAATATTGAAAAACTCATTTATCCTAAATTTACATAAAAATTACTTTTTAATTGCTTGTTTAACATACGTAGAGTGATTTTCCCGATTGTTTTATTTGTTTTAGTGTATCAAAACATGAAACAAACCTTAGTACTATAGTTCAGCCGATTAGAAAACGACCTGCGCGCTAATGCTAAACCAATGCTGGAGGAGGTCGCTTTCTAAGCGGCCGAACTATAGTACTAAGTTTCAAGTTCCTAGGTTTCATAATATGTTTTGTTAAGTAGTATTAAACTGTTAAAATGACGAGCTGCTGTACCAGTGTACTATCGGTACACTGCATTTTTCAATGGAAAGTATCGGGGAATATCACTGCTCTAAGTAATTTTATATAGTAAGTAAATCAAATCATTCGGTATACCTGAAAAAATACTTTATAAAAGTTTTAAAATAATTTTTCAGCTGTTCCTATGAATTTCTCTAACATTTAAATTAAATGAGATTTAATCGCAGCTGGTCCTTCTTTTGTTTTGATTTTGATCCCATGTTATTTAAATGGGCCAAAATCGTACTTTGAGGGCTTGCCAAGGGTTTATGGGTCAACGCACTTGAGACCCTCAAAAGGCACATCTACACGTTAAGGGCTTTCAAACAACATAAAAAACATTAAAATTGGGCCAGTGGTTTGGGCTGTAGGTCCGTCAACATTCAAGGAGAAGAAGGAGAACACGGAAAATTTGTGAATTTTCAAACTACTTTTTCTTGGCTCAAACACAACCGTTTTTTAAATTATTTTTTTTATTTTGTTGAGAATGAGTGCCCCTATCCAGTAGATGAATAATTATTTTAATAGCTTTTGTTTCTTCAGAGCTATAGACGAGTAAAAAAGCCACTTTGTCACGTCATGTATATATACACTGCAGCAGCTGTGTACCGCTGGGGGACTTGGCGGGGCGGAACGCTGCCGCGTTCCTTAATACCTAGGTAATTCTGCTTTACACAATTTTGATTTGTTACGATTGATCAAAATACACTTATGTTCTCTGTCGTTTGTTCCAGATATGCAGTTGAAGGGCACTGTGTACATTTTAATTCAAAATATGGAAACAAATCGGAAGCAATGAAGCATCCAGATGGACTAGCAGTGGTTGCTTTCTTTGGGAAGGTGATCAAAATCTGACTCAATAAACTTGAATCTAGCATAAATAATTAAAGAGGATGATTAACGAGTCTATTAAAACTGAGTTTACATTACTCTGCATGGGAAAATTGTCGTTGGATTTATAGTGCCATTGATTTTGAATAGTGATAGGCTAATAACCAAAGACTTTAAGCATTTTTTGTAAACTCTAACTTAACTTTTGTAAGCTCGGTTTTAGAGTTCATTCAATATTGTGTTGTTTATTAAAAAAAATGTTTTTAAAATACTTCCATCCCCCACAGAGAAGTAAGGTACAGAGGAACTTGCTTAAGGGACAATGGTGAGCTTACAGCCCGAGTATGTTGTGCATGGAATATACTTGTAAGGAGCAGGGAAGAGCGGCGAGCACCGCACACAGGGCACAAGCTGGGTGTTCCTCCACCGTGACCGTTGTGGTACATGAAGGCGAGGGGGGCGGTGTTGGACTTTTCCCTAGACACCACTTAAGCATAACATAGAATATTTCCTCTGTACCTATACCAATGCAACATCTCTGAAAGTATGTAAATTAGTATATTGTGCCTATATTGATTCTATAATAAGGTATGGTATAGTACTCTGGGAATCCAGTCCCAAAACAAAAAAACTTCTTAACGCACAAAAATCAATTGTACTTTCCATGGTTAAAGTGTCAAAGAAAAAAGGTTCTAGACCTCATTTTAAAAGATTAGGGATTTTAACCATCACAAGTATGTACATTTTTGAAATGATTAAGCTATTAATTAACAATATAGACAATTTCAAAGAGTTGAAATTTACACATAATTATTCCACACGTCAGAAACATTTATATCAATTCCCAATACATAGACTAACTCTTTTTGAACGTACACCAAAATACATGGCTATACAATTTTTTAATAAACTACCTAAAAGAATCACCAACAATCCAAAAAAACGTACTCCTAGAAAAATTACATGAGTTTTTAATTGAAAACGCATATTATACAATAGAAGATTTCTATTCTGATGTTTTCTAAACGGACAAGAATTAATTTAATTGTGTAAACTAAATTCATGTTGAATACATACCTTATGGCTTTCATTAATTTTAGCAGGATTTTATCTTATTTGTTGTTTTTTATAATGGTAACTTTTACTTGATGTCAGTAGTAATAATTTTGAGTTGTGTGAATTTATTAGTTACGAGAGGTCGTCCAGTGGTCGAAACTCGACCATAAATATGTAATGTAAACTTACTCACTTCTCTATTTTCACCCCACACTGTAAATAAAACATGTGATTGGAGTTTCTTCCATTTGTTTTGATTTTATGTTTATATTTCGTTGTTGTTTTGTCACCAGCATGGCAACGCATAAGATCCATGTTAATTTTTTCAAATTTTTAAACTCATTTTTTGTGCTTATCTTTGAGCCTATTTAAATTTATAAAGGGATTCTGCACACCTACAGGAAAGTAGCTTTCTAACGGTATGCGTAGATTTACCCCACGATGCACACGAGCTGAGAAAAAAGGTTTTAAAGAAACATGCTTGCCTATTAATATATAGATAGATAGATAGTATTTTTTTTAATTTTTATTATGACGACACTCCTATCCTTGAACGTTGTACTTTTTAAGATGTTTATGAGTTAATAAAGAATTTGAAAAAATTACCTTACTTCTCTATGTATCACAAAATATTTAAAACTCTTTGTTTCTCTAGGCAGGGAACACAGACAATCCCCTAGTGGAGAAGTTGGTCAGGAAACTTCCCTACATCAGGCTACCGGGCTCGTCAATCACAGTGAACGCTCACGAGGCACTCGAGTGGCTCGAAGAACTCGGGGAACCTCGGAACTACTTTGCGTATCCCGGATCTCTCACCACTCCACCCTACACAGAGAATGTTATGTGGATCGTCTATCCTCGACCTGTCAGCTTGTCTTCCCGACAGGTGAGGCATAGTCCCAATTCCAAGAACTGTTAGACACTGAAGACATTCATCTCGCAAGTAGACTTTTGAGCCTGTTGAAAAATCTGAGGGTTTTGTCCTGGGTTTCATGTCAGTTTCATCTTTGAAGATTGATTAAAGTATTTTCAATTTCTATGTATAGTATTATAAAAATACTAGTGGCCTGTAGGGGCCATAGCCCCTAATTTAGACACAATTGTGAATATGAAGGCAACTCCCCATTTCACGGTAGTAAGTCAAATATATCTATGAATTTGTCCCTGAATTTTAAAACAGTAAGGCCCATTTCAGGAATCTCTTTTTGTGTATCGGAAAGCGACGCAAAAGCCATTGCACTGTTGTATTGCCTTATGTTTTTTATGAAGTTAGAATCATGTAAAAACAGCTCTTTTAGTTCGTCATTTACTTGTGGTTGTGGCATGTTAATGAATCCATTGTGGCAACATGGGTTGAAATTGTTGACTTAAGTGAAAGTAAATTACTAACACCTAAGTTTTTACTGTTACAATGATCATCTTTTATTTTACTGAAGTACACACACACAACATTTTTACTCAAACATAACTTATTCAACAATTCTCATTACAATAAAAACAATCCTAACTATTTACACATGATCAGCTGTTACCAATATAAATTAAATTAAATACAGAACAAGTAACAGCAAACATATTATATAAAAATAAAATTACATTCAACACCTTCCCTTAATTTTATATAAGAAACAAAAAATAAATATCTCGATTAGGTATCGTCTTCTGTTCAAGATTTTGGATAGTTGATCAAAGCTTTGCTGAATTTATGAAACTTAATATTGTTCAAGGGTTTTGTAAACATATCCGCAACATTCTCGGATGTAGAAACAAAAGAAATGTTTATTTTACCTTGCCTTACATTTTCAGTCAAAAAATGGTAGCGAACATGAATGTGTTTGCTTCGCTTATTGAAAATACCATTTTTACAAAGCTTAATAGCACTTTGATTGTCCATGTTTAGGTTTGTTTCAACATTAGTTCCACTCAACTCTTGCAAGAAAGTTTTTAAATATAACAGTTCTTTGACACATTCCGCCGCTGCAATGTATTCTGCTTCAGTGCTGGACAAAGCTACAATCGGTTGTCTTCTTGTACACCAGCTTATTGGGTCTTCTCCATACATTATGACAAATCCAGTAGTACTTCTTCTTGTATGCTTGCAATTTGCATAGTCTGCGTCACAATATACATTTAGGCAATTTTCTCCTGATGCTGAAAATAATATTCCTGCGTCTTGAGTACCTTTAATATATCTTAAGGTTCGTTTGACATTTACAACATCTTCATTGCTTGGATTCTCAACACGTCTACTTTCTAATCCCACAGCAAGTGTAAGATCAGGTCTGGTTTTATTGGATAAGTACAGCAAACTTCCTACAACTTCTTTGTAAGGATAATCTTTTGTCAGGCAGCTTACTTGGAGTGTCTACAGGTTTACAATCTATCATTCCATATTTTTCGAGAATACTGTTTGAATAGTTCTTTTGTGTTAACAATATCCCTTCCCTTGAATATAAAATTTCCATTCCAAGAAAGTTTGATGGGTTTTCGTCTGTTTTTATTTTAAAATCTCTAGACAGCTCGTTCAAAAGTTTCTTCATCTCTCTTTCATCTGAACCAGCAAGAATTCCATCATCAACAAATATAGCAAGATGAATACTGCCATTTGTAAAAACAGAACGGTCAGACTGAGTTTGTTTTAAGCCATATTTTAGTAAGCAGTTTGTAACAACTGGTTCCATTTAAATGCTTGTTTAAGTCCATATAAAGTCTTTCTTAATTTCTAAACTTTATCTTTATGATCAAACCCTTCAGGTACACACATATAAATTTCTTCATCTAAATTTCCATAGAGAAAAGCAGTTTTAACATCAAATTGCATTAGTTTGAGATTTTGTTTGGCAGCTAATGAAAATAACAAACGTAAAGTTGAATTACTTACAACTGGGCTGTAGGTTTTTTCATAGTCTATACCTTTTTCTTGGGCAAAACCTCTTACAACTAGTCTCGCTTTGTATTTTCCGTTATCCTTTCTTGTTAATACCCACTTGTTACTTAGGATCTTCTTGTTAGGTGCTTGCTTTTTGTCAACCACTTCCCACGTTTCATTCTCAATAAGGGAGTTTTTCTCATCCTCAATTGCTTGTAGCCAATTTTTTTTATCTGGTCCTTTGATTGCTTCTTCATCTTTCAACATCACAAAATCCTTATATCTTTCAGGTAGTTTAGTTTTTCTTCTTAGTTTGATGCTTTGTGTAGTATCAGTATTACTTGAACTTGGCTGTTCTTCATTGATTTCATTTTTGTCTGAAACCAACTCAAACTCTACTTCATTATTACTTATCTCACTTAGATTATCTGCACTCTCAATATCTTCATTTTCATTTTCGTCTTCTTTCTGGTCATTTTCATTTTTGTCTTCTTTCTTGTCATTTTCATTTTTGTCTCCTTTCTGGTCATTCTCATCGTTTTGACTGTCATCGTCTTCAATAATTGTTGTTTTCTCCTGTTCTTTGCCAACATGCTTGCTTTTGTACTCAACGAATTTCACATCTCTTGAGACTTTTATTTTCCTAGAGCGTTCATCCCATATCCTATATGCATTCAGACCATATCCCACAAAAATAAATGATTCATTTCTGATATCCAACTTTCCTAAGTTAGGCCTCGTTATACGAGCATAAACTTTGCTGCCGAAAATTCTTAATCTTGATAGATCTGGTTTTTGGCCATACCATTTTTCACATGGTGTAGTGTCAACTGACTCACAAGGACTTCTGTTTACTATGTATGCGGCTGTTCTTATGGCTTCTCCCCATAGCTCTTTACTTAATTCTGAATCAAACAGCAGTGCTCTTGTTTTTTCTAAAAGAGTTCGGTTCATCCTCTCAGCTTTGCCATTTAGTTGTGGCGAATAAGGAACAGTGTAGTCTAACACTATACCCTTTGTTTTACACAAATCTTGGAGATCCTTCGAAATATATTCTCCACCATTGTCACATCGGATCTTGTGAATTTTTAAGTTCCATTTAGCCTCTACTTCTGCAAAATATTGTTTTACTGCATCAAACACTTCATACTTGCCTTTTAAAAGATAAACCATAGTAAAGTTTGTGTAATCATCAATAAATGTGATAAAATATCTTTTACCATCATGAGTACTTGGTTCTACTGGTCCACATACATCAGTGTGAATTATTTCTAGTGGTCTTTTTGCTCTTTTTCTTTCAGTATTGAAAGGCAACCTTGTCTGTTTAGCCTGTAAACAGACTTCACAAGTCGTTCTTCTATCACAGGTCTTCAAACATTGGCCAGACAATTTTATACCTTCTGACATAGAAATGAGTTTATTTAAACTATCAAAACTAATATGTCCCATTTTTCTATGCCACAAAATTACACTATCATCCACTACCGGTTTACTTGTTTCCCTTTCTATTAACTAAGCATTTAAATTACTATTAATATCAAAGATCTTAACTGTGAACAATCCATTTGAATTTTTTATGCCTTCCAACACTTGATCTCCAGTTTTTCTAAGTCCTATCATAACTTTATTTTCAGAGAAAGTAACCTCACCACCATTATTAGTTATTTCAGAAACAGACAAGTTTTTACTGAGTTCAGGAACATATAGCACATTATTCAGGATACATTCTTTGGATTTTACAGTTCCACTTGTTGAAGCTAACATGGTTTGATTTTTCTTAGCAACATATATTTCAGAAGAAATATTTTGTTTATTACTTAACAAATCTTCACAATTTGTCATATGTGAAGATGTGCCTGAATCAACAACCCATTCAGATACAAAGTTTATAGTCCCACTATTACCCCGAACATTTTGTCCATCATCATCATACGACAAAAAAGACACAGTTTTACTAGCGACATTTAGGTTCTGGCTTTTTCTAAAGTAACAATCTTTTTCATTATGATTTGACTTTTTACATATATTACAAAATAAATTTGGCTTTACATTTCTTTTTTCAAACTTGTTAACAAAATTTTTTACATTTCCACAGGTGTTTGCTAGATGACCAACAGCATTGCATTTAAAACATCGCCTTTCATTATCAGAGTTAGCCCAATTGTGTGTAGGTTTCTTGCAGTATTTTGCTTTATGGCCTGGAATTTTACAGTTGTGACAAACAACTTGGAACGCAAGATTTTTCTCTAGGCTTACCTCCTTTAACTCACTTCTTGACTCTTCAGCTAACAGTCTCGCTGTTAGATTTGCCAATGTCTTTTCTTCATTGGGCATTGATTCCCAGGCAGTTACAAAATACTTAAATCTATCTGGCAGACTGACAAGAATTTTTGATATTACCATTTTGTCATCAATATCTTGTTTTAAAGTTTTTAGTCTGTGTGCTATTTTTTCAATTCTACTTATGTGAGAACTTATATCAGAATTAGGCTCATACCTGAGGTTAAAGAATTCTTGTAATAACGAGTACTTCTGCTGCTCTGAGTCTCTTTCATAAATATTACACAGCTTCAAAAACATTTCTCTTGAGTTTTCACAGTTAATGATATGTAACATCGGTCCCTTCTCAATAGAACTAACTATACACTTCTGAGCCTTGGCATCTCTTTTAATCCAATCAGCCTTCTTCTTTCCATCGCCCATATCTTCAAGTTTCTCAGAACCATCAACAATACTCATCAAATCACTGGATTGAAATACTATTTTAATCTGAAATTTCCACAATGGAAAAGTTTCAACTCCTTTGAGTTTTTCTACGAAATCATCTTCTTTTACTGATGCCATTGTTAGTCTTACTTTTACTATTTCACTCACCTTCACTATTAACTCTTGGGATTTTACTACTTTACTTCTTGTTTTTACAGTTATGGTTGAATTTAGTGATGGTCAAAACCATAAATTTCGAATCTCAAAACCGAAACCGAAACTTTAAATAATCGAATGCCGAATCTCGAATCCCAAAACCTAAACGCGAAACTTTTTTACTTAGCTGGTTACAAAGGTCAAGGTTACAAAAAAAAATACACATAATCACAAAATGTTAAGTATGCAATCAAAACTGAAAGAGATCGACTCCTGACCGTGACATAACATAAATATGTGAATGTGACTGATAATCTTAAAAACCCAATACAACATAATTTTTCATAAACAAAAAAATAAATGAATAAATTAAACTTCTAACACCAACATAAACATGAATATTAGATCAATTAGAACATTTAGTGGTTAATATTTCTTTGTGTTTAGTAAATATTGATGTGAAACTGAATTGTACCAGTTATTAGTATTTAAGATACCTTTTGAAGTTCAGAATAAAATTTACTTGTTTCATTACTGTTAATGGTGATGTTTGCTCTGTTGCTACCAACTTGTTTGGAAACAGCGTTGAAAACAATAACAATGGCACAAAAAAATGTCAGCAGTTTCAAAAATAAAACTGCCAAAATCTTCAATTTCGAAACTTTTGAATCTCGAAACTTGGTGATCGAATCTCGAAACCGAAACTTTTCCTAAGTTTTGATGGTTTTGAGATTTGAGATTTGGTTTTGACACATCACTAGTTGAATTAATGAATTTTTCTGGGCCCCATAACCTGTTGACTTAAGTGAAAGTAAATTACTAACACCTAAGTTCTTACTGTTACAATAATCATCTTTTATTTTACTGAAGTACACACACACAACATTTTTACTCAAACATAACTTATTCAACAATTCTCATTACAATAAAAACAATCCTAACTATTTACACATGATCAGCTGTTACCAACATAAATTAAATTAAATACAGAACAAGTAACAGCAAACATATTATATAAAAATAAAATTACATTCAACAGAAATGTCCATTTGTGGCCTCCTCTGCGAAGTGAAATGCACCACAATACATACAAGTGCTGTTAAGAGGGCCTAGATTGTAAGAAACAACACTCAACTCATTTTCCAGCGTTCTTTTGGCATAGTTAGGCCTTACATGACGTTCTCCTTCAGCATTTCTTGTGTCAGTTGAATTCCTGGTTCCTCTTCCACGTCTTGCAGGTCTTCCGAATTTATAAAAAGTTTACTAATCACTCATTAGCTCTCAATAACCTCATTGTCTGATAAAACCTAAAACCAAATCAGTACAAGTCTAAACATGCCTATTTTTACAGGTGGAAGCTTTCCGTAACATACTATCCAACAACTACCAGTTGCTCAGGAAAAATATAAGACCAGTACAGTCTTTCAACAGCCGACCTCTAATTTATGCAGTTTAAATAGTGTAAACATTATGTAAATAGTTTTTGTAAATAAATAATATGCTATTTATTGCACATAATTTGTTATTTATAGTCCCTCTCTTACCTGCACGCGTTACACAATGTGTAACACTTATTTGAAGTCCCAACCTGCACGCGTTACAAGAAATGTAACACCAGATGTTAATTATTTTTATCACTAGCGCATTCTTGCGGACGTTTAGGAAACAAGTGTACGTAATTCCTTATGTTACCACTAGATGGCATGAATAGTTCTGATTGTCTGATCCACTTTGTTGCCGCCTAAAGTTGTTATTGTAATCAGGGAAACACGGATTCGTTGTTTTGCACATTTAGTGGAATTTTTCTGAGGTAAGTAGTTAAGTTATGACTATGATAAGTACTTATTATGAAAATATAGTTCCTTACCTTACCTCAGGCTACATAATAATGGTAGTTTTTGCAACTTTACTATCCATAAATGTTGAAATCACCGAGTACAAAAAATGTAACACCATGCACCATGGTTACTTGTGAAGTACCTAAACTGTAATACCATGCAGCACGATGACATACATTGATATTAATTTAAAACTCTACTATGTTTATTAATATAGGTTTATTATTGACAAATTAATCACACTTTATGAGGCTTATATTTCAATTTTTAATTCACCTAATAAAAAGTGAAAATTGATATTTTTATTAGCTTATTAGTTTCTGTGAAAAGCCTATTTTTATTGTATATTCTAAAAGAAATTTGTTCTTTTCAGGCATGGAAGATGGCTGATCGGAAATTTCTATCGCCAAACCAGATTGTGGAATATGTGTTCGAGCCTATTCCGTCGGACACGGACAGTGAAGATGACCTGGAGAATGACAATCAACAAGAATCTTCTGTTTTTTTGCCTAGTGGCGATAAAAGTTATACAGAACTTATTGCTTCAGGTGATTCCCTTTTTGATCACGATTATTTACAAACTTACGATGCAGAACCACTAGAAAATACAGATGAAATACTCCATACAATGCCAGACATCTCTGTAACTGAACCGAACAATTCAGGCAATGACCTCTATATGGGTTTTCAAGATGTACGAGTAGAAGAACTATTTTCTCCTGTAGCCAGCATAGGCTCTTCATCTATCTCTGGAGAAAATCAATCGTGTATCCAACCTGAAGAGTTAGCAAGTCCGCAAGTTGTGGAAAATTGTGGAATTAAATTATCTGATTCTACAAAAATAAAGACATACGAACGAAAACAAGCTCCTAATGTACTAGGAAGAAAATCATCTGAGACCGAGCAAGAAATTTCCACAATCAGTTTGCCTGGGACATCAGCAACCATTAGTATTCCTGGTCACTCTGAGGAAGAGTTATCTGAACCTCGCCCTTCAGTAGCATCAAGTCCGCAAGCCGTGGGAAATGAAGTTAATAAACCTTCTACTTCTAAAAAAAGAAAAACACATAAAATGAAGACTACAAATAAACTAACTAACAATTTGCGAGGAAGTAAAAGAGCGTCTGGGACTTCTGGATCTGCAAGGAAAAAAACAGATTGTCTCCCAAAACCGAAAAAGGATCCAAAGTTTGGTCCAGATATACGGCCATCACCAACATGGAGTCAAAATGAACAAGATATACCTACCATGTCAGGTATCGTAGAAGGGCAGATGGGGGTTTCAGAAAATGTATCCTCAAAGGATGACATCACTCCCTACAAACTGTTCAAAACCATTATTTCAGAAAAAGTAATTGAAGATATTGTTTTTCAAACAAACTTATATGCACAGCAGTCAGGAAAACGTTATACTCCTACTAATAATAAGGAAATAGAGGCATTTTTTGGTATCAATATCTTGATGGGCATAAAACGCCTCCCAAGTTATCGTGATTACTGGTCATCTGCTATAGATCTGAACGATCCTTTTATCAGTAAAATAATGCCACTAAATAGATTTAGCTGGTTGTTAGGAAACTTACACTTAAATGATAATACCTTACAACCTGATAAAGGGTCTCCAGACTATGACAAGCTCTACAAATTACGCCCCTTTTTGAATGATATAGCTGCAAACATCAAAGACAACTTCCACCCGGGTCAGGTGCTTGCAGTGATCCAATTCCATGATCAAATTCAAAGGCAAAAGTGGACTCAAACAGTACATGCCAAAAAAACCCATTAAAAGGGGCTACAAGTTGTGGCTGTTGGCTGACAAATCTGGCTATGTACTAAAGTTTGAAATCTACACAGGGAAAGTTGGAGACACAAGGCAGTATGATTTAGGCCCAACTGTTGTAAAGCGACTGACTGAAGACCTTGTAGGAAAGCATCACAGCATTTATATTGACAACTATTTCGTTACTTATTTTTTGATGGAAGACCTGAAGAATTTGGAGATCAATGCTTGCGGCACGGTCATGATTGACCGGGTTAACCTCCCTGCTTTTCGAAACACTAAAGAAATGAAAAGGGGTGAGAGTGAGTGGTTTGTGAGCAACAACAGTGTTGTTTGTACAAAATGGATTGATAACAAAGCAGTACATTTACTGTCCAATTTCCACGACCCCCGTGACGAAGCTACGGTAAAGAGAAAAGAGAAAGACGGAAGCCGCATTACTCTTGGTTGCCCATCGGCCGTAAGTGACTACAACCAAAATATGAACTGTGTTGACAAATTCGATCAACTTAAGTCCAACTATGAAATTGACAGGCAGAGCCAAAAGTGGTGGCATCGTATTTTATTTTATTTTATTGATTTAGCTGTTGTAAATGCATATATTATGCATAACTGTTTGCCCATTCAGAGGTATGACAGTAAATCTTTCTGCCGTCAAATCGTGTTTGGTCTTGTTGGAAAAAGTCTCACTCAAGCTGTTCCTATTGCTATAGACGCTACGCCACTATTCACAGGAAGAAAGCCGCAAATCCCACGGGAAGTACGTCAAAGTGATTCTTCACATCAGCCAGTAAGAAGCACCAGACGACGATGTGCCGTTTGCAGTACAAAAGATAGACAAGTATCCACATTTTGGAGTTGTAGTTTTTGCAAAGTCCCACTGTGCCTAAGCAAATCCAAGACCTGCTTCCAACGATTTCACACTGTAGAGTAGGCCAAGTAATTTAAGTTAAGTGAAATAAAGTCATGTTTAATAAATATATTGTTTTATTTCAATTTTCAGAAGTAACCGAAACAATAAAATTAATATAAAGCTCTCTATTGAATAATTCAAAATACTGCATGGTGTTACAAAATATGTAACTATTAATACTATGGGGTGCATGGTGTTACGTAATGTGTAACACCATTTTTAACATATATAAATACCAGAAAAATATTTTTTTTCAACAAAAGTCTATTTTTAACACCTATCTAACTACAAATTACACCATTATACCAAAAAGTTTGGAATTTGATATCTCCGTGCAGGTTGGGGTTTACGGTTCCCACAAATCGTGTGCAGGTAAGAGTTAAAATTGTTTAGTTTTATTTGGAATTTACAATTTTACAGTTACCAGTCCAACAGTCACACACAATATTTTTTTATCTGAAGGTACAATTTTAAGAAAATCTTTCATGTTAAGCTAAACATTTTACTAAAAATTGCTTTAAGAATGACTAGGGAAGAAAAATAACATTACCCATAAAAGCATCTATTTTGATATTGGATCCCTCAAGTAGACTTTTCATCCTGTGAAAAATCTGAAGAATTTTTTGTCCTGTTTCATTTGTACCGATTTTGTTGGAAAAGGCAACAAATCAATACAGGTACAGGATATTACACAGATTTATTCCGTCAATTAGGCGACGAGAGATTGCATCGTTTGAGTTAGATCGACCACAACAACCGAATCAAACTTTTTCAGAATACGTTGATCTTATCATATCCACCGCATTTGCTTTAAAATCATCAATGTCAGAAGGTGAGGTGATTGAGATTGCTTTGACAAAATGTAATCCAACTGTTCGAAGTCATTTTTCGTTCGGTCAAATGCCGCAAAGCTTATTTGAGCTAAAATCATTTGCAAATAGAATCACTAGTTCAATGCGTGCCGAAGAGAGATATTTTGGTAATGCAAATCGACGCCCATTGATTAATTCGTCGCCTAGGGTTGTAAACCAAACTCGTCATAATCCTACTACGTCGTCAAACGATCTACGTAATAGACCCAGGGAAAGGATCGTAAAATGTTATCGTTGTCAAGGTGAAGGTCATATCGCTAGGAATTGTAGGATGTTTTAAACTAGGTTCCGACGTTGTCAAGGTCGAATGACGTCGCACAATAACATCGACGCTCATTTTAAGCACTTGTAGAGTAGCTCTGCGAACATCAGAGGTCGCATGTCACCGGTGTAGGGCGAATAATATCTTTGTCTTTGTCATAGCTTGGTACTTAGCATTAGGGGAAAGTTTGTACGTGCATCGAAATGATCGCAAATGTCAACAAATTCGCCGAAATGCAGTTGAGGAGTGTTTTATTTAGGTTTAAGTCGATTCAGTTGTGATTCCCGAAATCAGTTGTTGTGTTCGTAATGGGATTCGGCCTGCATCGAAATGATAGTAATTGTCGGGTTCCAAATCGATTCGTAAACTGTTGTGATGGTTTTCGTCAATTGAATCAATACGCCAGCTTGATAATAAAGAACTGATATGCTCCGCATTCGGAAAAAACCGTGTTGTGAAAATTTCCAATCGGTCAGACAAGAAGCTCCGAGACAATGTTTTAAATGTTCGTCCATGCGCAAACCCGTCGGAATCAATGTTTGAAGTGTCAAAATGTAAATGTGTAAGTGTAATTAAATGTTTTGTGTCGACCATGTTTATTGATGTTTTAGAAGTAACAACATGACGTTTCTCAATTGAATAAAGTTACCAGTAGAATAAGATGAAATATTTTAATAAATGAGAACGTAAAACAAGGTTTAATTAAGGGCAGCAATTAGAAATAAGTTGTGAGTGAACAAACAGTGGAGTGAATCAACAAGTGTTGTGTTGGTGATGCAATCGAGGAGGCCGTGCGAGGTTTGGACTGACCATCATAACATTGTTATCGCTGGTGCTACTGATAGCATTGTTGAGCACCCGCCCCACCCTCCCCAGCTGACAGCACTACTATCGGACCATTGTTGAGCGCTGGCTCGCTGTGCTACTGACCCACTGCACCAGTGCCACTCACCGTAACAATGGACTACTACGAGCCCAGCTGTTCTCCACTTCTGACATCACGCTCTGCTGATTACCACATGTGGTACATCATAGTGTCTGTTTTGTGCGCGAAACGCCGTTGCGTGGTGTTAAGGTGTGGTGAATACTGGCTCTTTGTCACAAGAGTCCACTTCAAAAAATTGTTGTTACCATTATTTACATTGTTGTTGCATTATTGTTGTCGTTATTGTTGATTGTAAATTGTAATTGTGTTCATGTGTATCATCGTGTTCCACCGGCTAGGCCAAAAATGCTCCGAGGTAGTACGATAGGTTGGACTGTCCTAGGCCGATCACGGATAATTTTTTTCTGCTAGGGGGCATTTTGTACCGATTTTGTTGGAAAAGGCAACAAATCAATACAGGGTAACGCGAAGAACAGTCAGCTGGTTTGAACAATAGATCAGTATAGACCAGAATGCATCACGCACTAAAGCAGGAGAGGGGATAGTCTAGCCGGGTGGTCATTTGCTCCCACGAGTATCAGTTCCTATCCAAATCTCAACGTAGCTAGTTCGGTAAAATTGTTTTTCGTTCGTGGAAATTAAATTCATCTCGCGGCGTTTGGTCGGGCAATCTTAAATTTCCTTAAAGTCGTACAGCCTATATCCCTAAGGGATATAATTGCCTCGCGATTGGAAATTAGAATCAGTGTTATTGTCAAAAAGTGAAAAAGTTCGTTACCGGCCAACGCAGTTCCGCCATTTGAAAATTACACGTTCGTTTCACGAGTTCAATTGATCGCGTCTTGTAGAATACCGGCTAGTTACATTTCCCTATCCCTTCCCCTTTATTTGTGTTATATTTGTGGACGTCCAAACTGTAAGTAATTTGTGTTATTTATTTGTTAAATTTAGATTTCAGTGAGTCGCACTTTTGTAAATTTTTCCTGTCTTGTTTTGTCAATTCATGTAGAATAAGCACATGTTCACAGGTTCGAGTTCAATTCACTGATTTTTATATCCATTCATATTGTAGCAATCCGCTTTATTTATTAGAATGTAATAATCCTATAGTATTAAGAATAATTAGGTGAAAATGTTTTTATAGGGCAATTCAGAGTTATTTAATAAGATTTTCAGTGTTGGAATTTTTACACAGAGTCGTTGTTAATTTTCATTGTTGAGCAAATGGTACAATTCCTTTAAAGAGTGTCACAGTCAGTATCTTTTGGGGGAAATAAATTATTATCAGAGGAGGGAGCAGGTAGCTGGTTCGATTGATACGGAAGTGTTGTCGGAAGTTGTGCCAGTTTGAATATAGATGAACCGCCAAAGTACCAAATTAGCTATAAAATAATAAAGCAACATTCTAATAAACATTACTACGATTGAATACAATATTGTTCAATCAGTTGGACTGCGAGACGACCTTCGTTTTTAATCGTTGGCCAACGAAAGGATTTGCTTGGTACAGGTCATCTCAACTATTAGATTAAATACCACTCTTCCATTGATACTTTCGCGATCGGTGTGAAACCGCACCATACCTCCCCTTTTGATACATCCATTCAACAGTTTCAATAAATTTCCAACTGATTGTGTAACTTAAGGTCATTTTTATTTAAAAGAACACAAACAGCGACTGTAAACTGAAACAAGTGTATTTGTTAAATTCTGTGCAATAAATTCAAATTGTTACTCACTTTTGGTTCTCAATAACCTTGGTATTTTAGTATATGCAATAGTATTTAATTGATAAACAAAAGGTAACTCACTAAATCATAAGCCACTACAAAAGATTCACCTTTTAAGTGCAACACTAAACACTAGTGTAGTAGTGAGCAAGTAAATTCAGTGTAGAATTAAGACTGGTAAATTGCTCTCATTAAAGGTATTACATTTTTGGAAGAACCATAACAGTACCAAGGGGGTCCCCTAAGGACCTTTGGGGAATATTTATATTTTGCAGGGCCCACACATATTTTCTCATAACATCAAGCTTCCACTGCCAAAAAGCTCTGTCTGATATTTTTATTTTCTGGAGTTCTTCCAACCCAGGGGCAACCAACATTTGTAAAGAATTCATTTGAGAGCATTGCAAGGAGCAAATATATTTAAATATAATATTTAAATATATGAGAGTTATAAGTCAGAAACTTTTCCTTTTTTTTCTTTACACATTTTATATTTTCATCTTTGACTTTTGATAAAAAATATATTCGATTTTCTTGTACTGTAGTTTTAGAAAAAACATAAGTAAAGTAGGGAGTATACCCAGGCTATGATCTGTTTGAAATGAAGAGCTTAGAGTCAGCGGGATGTACTAATGCTGACATTTCTCCACAAATTGGTCAATGGAAAAAAGATAGGATTAGATAAGAAAAAATCTTTATTTCCATCAGATATTCTTTTGGATACATTGGATATGTCACTTTACAATATTTAATTTATACAATAGCAAAAATGAACATAGGGCTTGCTATATTCAAACAAAATCATTGTAAGTACATTTTCCTATCAAATATTCATCAATTAAATAAAATGCTTTTGCAAGCAAGAACCTGGTTACAACAGTTTTAAATTTATTACAGTAGGTATTTAATGTTCATGTCCCTAATAAGAAGGGGTAAATAGCTCATTAAATAATCTAATGGCTAGTACAGATGGGTTTTTCCATTGATTTACTTAGCCTAACATAAGGCAATTGTAAGTCGTATTTTATTCTATTGTTGTAAGAGTGTACGCCATATTATGCATCAAATCAGGTTGATTTTTAATGAATAGGCTAACAAGTTTTGTAGAACAAAGACAGTGTAGAGTTAAAATTTTAAAATGAACAAAAGATTTATAATGAACTCCTGCAATGTTTCGGACAGCATGTTTTTGTATAAAATCATCTTTTGATGCCGAGGCACTGCCCCAGACGATCAAACCATAAATAATCCAAAATGGGCTATTCTAACTAGCATTTTATGTCACGACACCACAGAGTCGTCTTAGAGCAAAAACCTCACAAGCCAATCTCATGCTTACTTCGGAGATGAATGATCCAACCAAGAATGAGTAGGATCCAGCCGAACACCAAGGAGCTTGGTTGAAATGACCCCCTCTTCCCCGGTCAGACCCCTCAGGCCAAAAATCAGTGGTGATTTTTTTTCTCTATTCAAAATCAAATTGTTTGCATCCAGCCAGCCACTAACCTTGTTTTAATTTCCCTGGATGTCAACATCGGCCAATTTTTTTATTTTGTTTCTAGCGATCAATGTGGCGTCGTCTGCATACATGAAAATTCCAGATGACACATTAACTTCTACATCATTGATTAACACTAAAAAATAGTTTGCTTGTTTATGAACATACTTTGATCAAATTTGGAGGATGCATTTATTACTTACTAAGATATTAACATAAAAAAACACTCTATTACCCTCCCTCTGTTGCAGCAAACCTAAGTACAGTAATCGTTAAACTAATTCTATTTAAATAGGGAATAAATGTGATATTTTTAATGAGACAGTTTTCAAGTTGACAGTTACTTAAATGAGCTAGTTAACTCTCCAACCCCGCACCTGAGAAGAGTTTAATTTTAAACCAGTTATTCAATCTGATGTTTTGATGTCCATCCGCAGAATCCGAAGCAATGCTGTTGGTTCTCTATATATAGAAAGACCAGTTGCCTTTGCTTCGCGAACTTTGCAGGAATCGGAAAAGCGATACTCGTCAATTGACAGGGAAGCACTTGCTTGTGTGTTTGGAGTGGTCAAATTCCACCAGTATCTTTATGGCAGACATTTTACCTTAAGTAGTGACCACAAGCCTTTAGAAATAATTTTTGGTAAACATCGGGATTTGACCAAGACAGGTTAACAGGTTGGTTCGATGGGCTATTTTCTTTAACAAATATGACTTTGATATAAAGTATATAGAAGGTAGAAACAATGTGTTGGTGGATGCACTCTCTAGACTGCCCAGCGAGTGTGACCAACCATCAAGAGAAGAGTTGTCTGCAAAACTACTGGTTCAGGAAAAGATAGATGATATGGCTCTGACAACAAAGGAACTGCAAGAAGAAACTAGAAAAGATGAAACTTGCAGGTGTGTGATGATGTTTTTATGGAATCACAATGGCCATAAAAGTTGCCTAATGATCTTTTGTCTTTGTCTCCTTTTTTTCACAGACGAGAAGAACTTTCTTCTGTGAAAGGAATTCTGATGTGGGGAAATAGGATAGTAGTTCCACAGATCCTTCAAAAGAAAACTCTACGTGTATTTCATCAAGGACATCCCGGAATTAAAGCTATGAGGAGTCTGTCAAGGTACTATGTGTGGTTGTGCAAGATTGACGAAGATATAGAAAAGTATGTGAAGACTTGCAATGGGTGTCAGATGAACCGTCCAAGGGAACCAGAGGTACCTCGGTACTCGTGGAATGTACCAGATGGTCCTTGGGAAAGTATACACTTGGATTATGCTAGGCCATTTGATGAGTGGGATTGGTTAGTTGGTGTAGATGCATTTTCTAAATGGCCAGAGATATCAATGGTTAGATGGATTAAAGCTGCCAGTATGATAAACAAGTTATGGGAATGGTTTTCTCGCTATGGAGTTCCTAGGATGATTGTCATGGACAATGGGACGCAGTTTACTGCAAAGGTCTTTGAGAAGTTTTGCAAGGATAACGCAATAAAACATGTCTGCAGTACACCGTATCATCCGAAGACGAATGTCCAAGTTGAACGGTTCATCAAAACCTTCAAATCAAGATATTTGTCCAGTAAGGGTGACAGGCAAGATCAAGCTATTGTTTGCCTACAGAAACACACCACAAAAATCAACGAGCAAACTTCCTTCAGAACAGTTCTTCGGCAAAAGACTTTGATCTCCATTGTACAATTTAAAGCCCACGTCAGGTTTAATTTAGGACAATTTAAATATCACATCTTTAACCGTGGGCTTTTAACAGAATCTGTTTTCAAACAAAAGGAGTATCATGATGGAAAAAGTAGACGTAGGGAATTTTCTAAAGGGGGAAGAAGTCTGGGTGCAGAGAGAAATAGGTACCGGCTGGACTCCAGGAGTGATTAAATCAAGAACTGGTTAGCTATCCTACCAAGTAATGGTTGGTGGACTTCTGAAGCGAAAACACGCAGACCAACTACGTAAGAGAAGTGGAGCTTTATCTGAAGGGGGAGAAGTGTGATATTGGATCATATGTTTAATGGTATTTTATTTATTGTCTTGTTGAAAGCATGGTTAACGTTGTTGTTATGATGTTTTGTGTTAGTGTTGAGATGGCATCAAGATTAAAATGTTCTTTCTTTAACTAGTTTGTTTTTATTTTTTGTGAATATACTATAAAGACTTAATGTAAATGTGATTTAGTATAGTAACTAATCTCTTACCACTTGTGTAAATCATTTAATGCACAAGCTCTTAGAGCATTAAGTAAAGGCTTTGATATTTTTGTCTTGCAAACCCTTAAATTTAGCCTTTGAAACTATATTATCTAGCCTAAAGCCATATGTGAGAATATTCAGAGTGTTTATGTACAGCGTTTAACACTTTCTCTTGTTTACGTTTACAGGGCATTTTAATACATTTCTAAAAGTAGATTTATAAGTGGAATTCATTGGTTTCAAACGCATTTTTTGTAGTCCTAGCACAAAAATGTGTTTAGGTGTATTTAGAATGGTTTTCAGATGACAAGAATGATAACAAACCGCTGTATAGCCTATGGCATGATACAATGTTATTACGTCTATCATTTGTTTTATTCCATATCTTAGACTATATTTTATATTATCATGGAAATCGTACATTTGTATGCTTGTATGACTTTATTTGATAGTGCACTTATGAGGTCTCTCTCCTGTGTGTACTAATGTATGTTTCTTCATATTGCCACTGGTTGAGAAGGATTTTCCACATATAGTGCATTTATGAGGTCTCTCTCCTGTGTGTACTAATGTATGTTTCTTCATACTGCCCCTGGTTTTGAATGATTTTCCACATATAGTGCACTTATGAGGTCTCTCTCCGGTGTGTACTAATGTATGTTTCTTCATATCGCCACTGGTTTGGAAGGATTTTCCACATATAGTGCACTTGTGAGGTCTCTCTCCGGTGTGCACTAACGTATGTTTCTTCATAACGCTACTGGTTTGGAAGGATTTTCCACATATAGTACACTTATGAGGTCTCTCTCCGGTGTGTACTAATGTATGTTTCTTCATATCGCCACTGGTTTGGAAGGATTTTCCATATATAGTGCACTTATGAGGACTCTCTCCTGTGTGTACTAATGTATGTTTCTTCATAACGCTACTGGTTTGGAAGGATTTTCCACATATAGTGCACTTATGAGGTCTCTCTACTGTGTGTACTAATGTATGTTTCTTCGTATGGCCACTGGTTTGGAAGGATTTTCCACATATAGTGCACTTATGAGGTCTCTCTCCTGTGTGTACTAATGTATGTTTCTTCATATGGCCACTGGTTTGGAAGGATTTTCCACATATAGTGCACTTATGAGGTCTCTCTCCTGTGTGTACTAATGTATGTTTCTTCATATGGCCACTGGTTGTGAAGGATTTTCCACATATAGTGCACTTATGAGGTCTCTCTCCTGTGTGTACTGATGTATGTTTCTTCATCTGGTCACTGGTTTGGAAGGATTTTCCACATATAGTGCACTTATGAGGTCTCTCTCCTGTGTGTACTAATGTATGTTTCTTCATATGGCCACTGGTTTGGAAGGATTTTCCACATATAGTGCACTTATGAGGTCTCTCTCCGGTGTGTACTAATGTATGTTTCTTCATATCGCCACTGGTTTGGAAGGATTTTCCACATATAGTGCACTTATGAGGTCTCTATCCTGTGTGTACTAATGTATGTGTCTTCATATGGCCACTGGTTTGGAAGGATTTTCCACATATAGTGCACTTATGAGGTCTCTCTCCTGTGTGTACTAATGTATGTATCTTCATATGGCTCCTGGTTGTGAAGTATTTTCCACATATAGTGCACTTGTGAGGTCTCTCTCCGGTGTGCACTAAAGTATGTTTCTTCATAACGCTACTGGTTTGGAAGGATTTTCCACACATAGTACACTTATGAGGTCTCTCTCCGGTGTGTACTAATGTATGTTTCTTCATAACGCTACTGGTTTGGAAGGATTTTCCACATATAGTGCACTTGTGAGGTCTTTCTTTGGTGTGCACTAATGTATGTTCCTTCATATCGCTTCTGTTTGTGAAGGATTTTCCACATATAGTGCATTTATGAGGTCTCTCTCCGGTGTGTACTAATCTATGTATCTTCATATGCCTACTGGTTTGGAAGGATTTTCCACATATAGTGCACTTGTGAGGTCTCTCTCCCGTGTGCACTAATGTATGTCTCTTCATACTGACACTGGTTGTAAAGGATTTTCCACATATAGTGCACTTATGAGGTCTCTCTCCGGTGTGTACTAATGTATGTATCTTCATATGGCTCCTGGTTGTGAAGGATTTTCCACATATAGTGCACTTATGAGGTCTCTCTCCTGTGTGCACTAATGTATGTTTCTTCATATTGCCACTGTTTGAGAAGGATTTTCCACATATAGTGCATTTATGAGGTCTCTCTCTCCGGTGTGTACTAATGTATGTTTCTTCATAGTGTCATTGGTTGAGAAGGATTTTCCACATATAGTACACTTATGAGGTCTCTCTCCGGTGTGTACTAATGTATGTTTCTTCATATGGCCACTGGTTGAGGGGGATTTTCCACATATAGTGCACTTATGAGGTCTCTCTCCGGTGTGTACTAATGTATGTTTCTTCATATCGCCACTGGTTTGGAAGGATTTTCCACATATAGTGCACTTATGAGGTCTCTCTCCCGTGTGCACTAATGTATGTCTCTTCATACTGACACTGGTTGTAAAGAATTTTCCACATATAGTGCACTTATGAGGTCTCTCTCCGGTGTGTACTAATGTATGTATCTTCATATGGCTCCTGGTTGTGAAGGATTTTCCACATATAGTGCACTTATGAGGTCTCTCTCCTGTGTGCACTAATGTATGTTTCTTCATATTGCCACTGTTTGAGAAGGATTTTCCACATATAGTGCACTTATGAGGTCTCTCTCCCGTGTGTACTAATGTATGTTTCTTCATATTGCCACTGTTTGAGAAGGATTTTCCACATATAGTGCACTTATGAGGTCTCTCTCCTGTGTGTACTAATGTATGTATCTTCATATTGCCACTGGTTGAGGGGGATTTTCCACATATAGTACACTTATGAGGTCTCTCTCCGGTGTGTACTAATGTATGTTTCTTCATATCGCCACTGGTTTGGAAGGATTTTCCATATATAGTGCACTTATGAGGACTCTCTCATGTGTGTACTAATGTATGTTTCTTCATAACGCTACTGGTTTGGAAGGATTTTCCACATATAGTGCACTTATGAGGTCTCTCTCCTGTGTGTACTAATGTATGTTTCTTCATATGGCCACTGGTTTGGAAGGATTTTCCACATATAGTGCACTTATGAGGTCTCTCTCCTGTGTGTACTAATGTATGTATCTTCATATGGCTCCTGGTTGTGAAGGATTTTCCACATATAGTGCACTTATGAGGTCTCTCTCCTGTGTGTACTAATGTATGTTTCTTCATAACGCTACTGGTTTGGAAGGATTTTCCACATATAGTGCACTTATGAGGTCTCTCTCCTGTGTGTACTAATGTATGTTTCTTCATATGGCCAATGGTTTGGAAGGATTTTCCACATATAGTGCACTTATGAGGTCTCTCTCCTGTGTGTACTAATGTATGTATCTTCATATGGCCACTGGTTGAGAAGGATTTTCCACATATAGTGCACTTATGAGGTCTCTCTCCGGTGTGTACTAATGTATGTTTCTTCATATCGCCACTGGTTTGGAAGGATTTTCCACATATAGTGCACTTGTGAGGTCTTTCTTTGGTGTGTACTAATGTATGTTCCTTCATATCGCTTCTGTTTGTGAAGGATTTTCCACATATAGTGCATTTATGAGGTCTCTCTCCGGTGTGTACTAATCTATGTATCTTCATATGCCTACTGGTTTGGAAGGATTATCCACATATAGTACACTTATGAGGTCTCTCTCCGGTGTGCACTAATGTATGTTTCTTCATATCGCTTCTGTTTGTGAAGGATTTTCCACATATAGTGCACTTATGAGGTCTCTCTCCGGTGTGTACTAATGTATGTCTCTTCAAAATGTCACTGGTTGTGAAGGATTTTCCACATATAGTGCACTTATGAGGTCTCTCTCCGGTGTGTACTAATGTATGTTTCTTCATATGGCTACTGGTTGAGAAGGATTTTCCACATATAGTGCATTTATGAGGTCTCTCTCTCCGGTGTGTACTAATGTATGTTTCTTCATAGTGTCATTGGTTGAGAAGGATTTTCCACATATAGTGCACTTATGAGGTCTCTCTCCGGTGTGTACTAATGTATGTCTCTTCATACTGACACTGGTTGTAAAGGATTTTCCACATATAGTGCACTTATGAGGTCTCTCTCCTGTGTGCACTAATGTATGTTTCTTCATATTGCCACTGTTTGAGAAGGATTTTCCACATATAGTGCACTTATGAGGTCTCTCTCCCGTGTGCACTAATGTATGTTTCTTCATAGTGTCATTGGTTGAGAAGGATTTTCCACATATAGTACACTTATGAGGTCTCTCTCCCGTGTGCACTAATGTATGTTTCTTCATACTGCCACTGGTTGTAAAGGATTTTCCACATATAGTGCACTTATGAGGTCTCTCTCCGGTGTGTACTAATGTATGTGTCTTCATATTGCCACTGGTTGAGAAGGATTTTCCACATATAGTACACTTATGAGGTCTCTCTCCCGTGTGCACTAATGTATGTTTCTTCATAGTGTCATTGGTTGAGAAGGATTTTCCACATATAGTGCACTTATGAGGTCTCTCTCCCGTGTGCACTAATGTATGTCTCTTCATACTGACACTGGTTGTAAAGGATTTTCCACATATAGTGCACGTATGAGGTCTCTCTCCGGTGTGTACTAATGTATGTATCTTCATATGGCTCCTGGTTGTAAAGGATTTTCCACATATAGTGCACTTATGAGGTCTCTCTCCCGTGTGCACTAATGTATGTTTCTTCATAGTGTCATTGGTTGAGAAGGATTTTCCACATATAGTGCACTTATGAGGTCTTTCTTTGGTGTGCACTAATGTATGTTCCTTCATATCGCTTCTGTTTGTGAAGGATTTTCCACATATAGTGCATTTATGAGGTCTCTCTCCGGTGTGTACTAATCTATGTATCTTCATATGCCTACTGGTTTGGAAGGATTTTCCACATATAGTACACTTATGAGGTCTCTCTCCGGTGTGCACTAATGTATGTTTCTTCATATCGCTTCTGTTTGTGAAGGATTTTCCACATATAGTGCACTTATGAGGTCTCTCTCCGGTGTGTACTAATGTATGTTTCTTCATATTGCCACTGTTTGAGAAGGATTTTCCACATATAGTGCACTTATGAGGTCTCTCTCCTGTGTGTACTAATGTATGTTTCTTCATATCGCTTCTGTTTGTGAAGGATTTTCCACATATAGTACACTTATGAGGCCTCTCTCCGGTGTGTACTAATGTATGTTTCTTCAAACTGCCACTGGTTGAGAAGGATTTTCCACATATAGTACACTTATGAGGTCTCTCTCCGGTGTGTACTAATGTATGTATCTTCATATCGCTACTGGTTTTAAAGGATTTTCCACATGTAGTACACTTATGAGGTCTCTCTCCGGTGTGAACTAATGTATGTATCTTCATTTCGCTACTGGTTTTAAAGGATTTTCCACATGTAGTACACTTATGAGGTCTCTCTCCGGTGTGTACTAATGTATGTATCTTCATATTGCCACTGGTTGAGAAGGATTTTCCACATGTAGTACACTTATGAGGTCTCTCTCCGGTGTGTACTAATGTATGTTTCTTTATACTGCTACTGGTTGTGAAGGATTTTCCACATGTAGTACACTTATGAGGTCTCTCTCCGGTGTGCACTAATGTATGTTTCTTCATACTGCTACTGGTTGTGAAGGATTTTCCACATATAGTGCACTTATGAGGTTTCTCTCCGGTGTGCACTAACGTATGTTTCTTCATATCGCTACTGCTTTTAAAGGATTTTCCACATATAGTGCACTTATGAGGTCTCTCTCCGAAGTGCACTAATGTATGTCTCTTCATACTGACACTGGTTTGGAAGGATTTTCCACATATAGTGCACTTATGAGGTCTCTCTCCGGTGTGTACTAATGTATGTTTCTTCATATCGCCACTGGTTGTAAAGGATTTTCCACATATAGTGCACTTATGAGGTCTCTCTCCGAAGTGCACTAATGTATGTATCTTCATATGGCTCCTGGTTCTGAAGGATTTTCCACATATAGTGCACTTATGAGGTCTCTCTCCCGTGTGCACTAATGTATGTTTCTTCATAGTGTCATTGGTTGAGAAGGATTTTCCACATATAGTACACTTATGAGGTCTCTCTCCCGTGTGCACTAATGTATGTTTCTTCATACTGCCACTGGTTGTAAAGGATTTTCCACATATAGTGCACTTATGAGGTCTCTCTCCGGTGTGTACTAATGTATGTGTCTTCATATTGCCACTGGTTGAGAAGGATTTTCCACATATAGTACACTTATGAGGTCTCTCTCCCGTGTGCACTAATGTATGTTTCTTCATAGTGTCATTGGTTGAGAAGGATTTTCCACATATAGTGCACTTATGAGGTCTCTCTCCGAAGTGCACTAATGTATGTCTCTTCATACTGACACTGGTTTGGAAGGATTTTCCACATATAGTACACTTGTGAGGTCTCTCTCCCGTGTGCACTAATGTATGTTTCTTCATAGTGTCATTGGTTGAGAAGGATTTTCCACATATAGTGCACTTATGAGGTCTCTCTCCGAAGTGCACTAATCTATGTTTCTTCATATAGTAACTGGTTGAGAAGGATTTTCCACATATAGTACACTCATGAGGTCTCTTTCCGATGTGTACTAATGTATGTTGCTTCATACGGCCACTGCTTAAGAAAGATTTTCCACATATAGTGCACTTATAAGGACGCTTATCAGAATGAATTAACAAATGAGTCTTAACATGAAATAGATGAATACATGTTTTCTCACATGTTAAACATCTAAAGGGACGCTCACCAGTGTGTAAGTATATATGAGACTTCATTCTTGATAGAGTTGAAAACATTTTTCTACATATTGGACACTTAAGGCGATGCTTTTTAGTGACCTTTAACATTTTTTGTTTTCAATTTCCTACTTATAACTTATTAGACAAGCTACAAACTAATTGGAATTAGTCAGTTGGCTTTATATGTATATTTTTTTAGGATTTGGCGTTTTACAGTTATGTTTATTAAATACAATACAACACAGCTTACTTGAGGCATTTTTCTTGACTTTTACATTCAATCATATTAAATTAGTTGAAATATTTTAAGAAAAAGTGATTTCTATTTTTTCACGTTGTTTTCAAATAATATTGCACCAGCCATTAATATACATGTTTTACATAATAAATTACTTACTTTCATTTGTACTTTTAGTGTAGTAAAATCTTAATCTTTTTAACTGTTGTTTTAAGTATCTATAATACTTTACAGATTACGTTTTTTGTTTTTGCTACATGAATTATTGAAGTTCTTTTTCCTCTTCAAATCTATTGCCTCTTCTGAAAAAAGATCATATTTTATTAAATATAAACATTTGTTGTAATCATTTAGATAGATTGTTTGTTCATTTAGTCTAAACAATAATTTCAAATCAACAATTTATAGTAAATCCATAGCATTATTATAATGCAAAATTAAAATTATAAATGCAATTGCAATTTATATTGTCTAGATAGGTATGGTCTGGGTGTCCCTAAAGTATTTATTGGGTTTTAAAATACTTTATTCAACTGACGATACATGAATGGTCAACCTGTTTGCCGGATTTTTTTGCAATTTCTTTCTCTGGGGCTATGTGAATAACAGGGCATACATCCTGCTATTAGCTCAAATCTCTAAAATTTGTGAAAAAGTATTCACATTAATTACAGTGACAACAGTAGAACAGGTTATGTTTACCAACGATACAGCGGCCAATCCAACCATCAGGAAGTTTGTCATTTAAAAACATGGGCATTGCAGAGCGAGAGCCAATAAGGAGAAGCCCTGTCCTGCTTCCACATGAAGTGCACTTATGGGGTCGCTCTTCTGTATGAACCAATGTATGTTGCTACAAGGTCACAAAGTCTTCCATTCCATATCCTCTTCAGGTTAAGGAAACAACCATTGCTCCAACATGTCCGGAGTGCAATATCATAGTGACAACCATATCAGTGAGAAGTGTCAAAAAGCAGAGTAAATGTGTTGTGTTATATAGCGAGAGTAATCCAGTGATAGATGCAGTAGCGGCTGGTGTTCATAGGTGGTGGGAGGGCTCTGCATATTTTTATATATAAACGAAAGCCTAACATCATTCACGTTTGTCAAAGAACTGGAAAAGCTTTAAGGTTTAAATTTGTAATACAAACACTCATAGGCCTAGCCTGTGATATACAGTAGAAACCCTGTTGACCAAATTAGGGTTTAACCGTAATCCGGGTTAACCAAAATGGTTCTATAAAATAATACAGGGCTGTAAAATGGTTTAATAACTTCAGTTGTCTGGTTTAAAGTATTTTCTATCCCATTGTGTCATTATTGTAGCTGAAATAAAACACTGAATTTTATAGACATTGTCTTAAATTCATTTTTCCTACACACTGTGGTAATACATTGGCTATTTTTAGCATATGATGGGTTAACCGAAAAATTGGTTATCTGAAACAGCTCTCCCCCCTTTATTTCGGTTAACCGGGGTTATGTTTAAATTGAACGGTATATTTTTAGGTATATTTTAACGATGTATATTGATTTAAACTTGTTTCCAAGGCTCATAATGTATTTAAATCAATAACCATGTCTGCAAATGGGTCTATCCTGAAAATAACATTAACAAAATAATGATAGTATTCCATAAAATATGTAAGGTAATAAGAAATAGTAACCCAAATAAGTAAAACAGCTTACGAAAACAAATTGCATTTAAACTTATACCGGTAACCTTAACATATTGTACTTCAATAATATTAATCAACCGGAAATGCAGGGCCTACCTTTAACTAAACTGGATGTGAAATCAATTTAACATCATTAACTGTAAAATAATTTACAGTTAGTATTTTACTTAAATAAACACAAGAACAGTACTTCTAAATTACTATTCATTAATCACTAAACATAAACACCAAACCAAAATAACATTTTCAGGTTAGCTCAGCAGTTATTTTCTAGATTTAGAAATTAGATTGTTTGATTTGACTTATGACAAACAGGTGCGCCTACATCAATTCTACTCATCATAACGTTAGCTTGTCATACAGAATATCCAGATTTTGGTGGCTGCCCTGATTTTTGAGTGTGCGTGCAACTTTAGACTCTGCCCCAAAGCGCCCATACTAAAGCATTGGAATTACGACATGGCACCCTCAGCGCTGTTCGGTTGTTCTGCAATAAGACTACTTATTGTATTGGGATTGGGACATTCTGGCCGCTGTCCGCACTAAGCAAGCAACGATCAAAAATTAGTCTTTACTGAATTGAATTATCCAATTATTTGATATATTTTTGTTGTGAATTATTTAAAGTACCCGTTGAAGTAATTTTAATAAAATTTAACTGTAATATTAAAATGTAATTAGTTTATGTATTGTTGGGAGGGTAGCGTCAGAGAGCTCTTATGGGCTAGTCGCCACTGGTCAAACCCAGGTAGCCTAAAGGGAACATTGATTTATAGAAACAATTATACTCAATAAATAAATAGGATGACTAAAAATTTGAGTTAAACAAGTCTCAAGTTTCAGTATTTTACTCTTGCTTATCCACAAATTAAATCAAATTCCTGTTCCATGCCTGAAATTAGTACAAAAGCGGGAAACTATGGCTTAAGTAATAAATCCTTTGTCATCAAAATCCTAAATATGGAAATATGGTTCCATTTTGCCTGTCAATTTTTGCTAATAAAATCTGCATGGATAATAAAATGATAAAACTCCATTGCAGACAAAGTACAAGAGATATAATGCGCATGCTTCCATAGCTGGATGTGGATATACATACTAAGTGTGGGAACACTCTCATACTAAGATAGCAGTGTTAGCACCGTCCTAAGTGCCAATGAAAGTTCTAGCCCAGGCCAATGCTAAATGTCTGTTACTTAAGGGACACCCCCCCCTCCTAAATAATTATTTAATTTGTATTTTTCTACAGAATATGAGAGACCTTGTCAAGTCTGGCATTAAATAATAGTGCAATACGATATAACATTACTCATGTAATATTTGTACATTTTCCTGCCTTTATGGAGCTAAGCATACATTAACCATGAAATAAAAATTAGGTGAATGGTGTGTGGTTAAGACCAGGGATTATCACTAGGTAGGGAGATTACAGTTAAAGTATGAAACATAAATGAAATCACACACTGAAGCAGTTAACACCTTTTAATTTTCACTAATTGTATAAAAATTTACAAACATAGGCTACTTAAATTAATCCATCAGTTTGATTATGTGAGATATGTAATTAATATTGTAGAATTATCCTAATTTGATATTTTACTTTGACTCAAAACATCAATCGACCTCTTATTTTTAATAAAAATATATTACAATAAATTTCTACATTACATCCAATTTAACACGTTCGCTACCGAGCGTTGCATTATGTGACGCCGCTATCATTGACGGACTGAGGTATACAATTTAATCTTAACACATAGAACAGCTGTCACTTGCTTAACAGACCACGGGTGAAACCCTGTTAAACAGTGATAATTTAGTTTATAATACACTGCAATCGTTTGTAAATAATATATTATTTTTTTATATGTTTGATAACCTTTTGTAATGTCGCATATTTGCAACACCCGGTCTACAGCGAAGACGATAGTGAAAATTATCATATTTTTCTTGAATAGCCCAAACGCCGCTTATATGCGACAGTTCATTATTGTTTGTTTTTGACGTGAAAGTAAGAAAAAAAAACAGATTATTCAAGAACAGTTTTTAACTGAACAAATATAAAAGCTACATAGGATAATGCAGCATACATACTGCGTATATACAGTACAGTGATGCAGACAAGTAAAGACCAGTTTATCCAACTATCATATGACGTCAACAATAATCATATCCACAGAAAAAGCAACACAGTTGAGCGTCAGACATCCCTGTAGACCACTGCAGAGAATTCAGTGCCTTCAAACAGACCGTTAAAAAGATATAAGCATTTTTATAAAATTGGAATTATATTTTACTGACTAGCCGTCGCATATATGAGACGGCAGTCTATATAGAATCCGGCCGTTGCATATGTGCATCACTGGTCTATATGAATGAAATATAATGTAATTGTGTACTATTGCGGTAGCGAACGTGTTAAATCTACAATACATAGCCTACATTTTTTTAATAACCTGTACAGATGATGAGTTTTATACTTAACTGCTATTGAAACAAGGAGCAAAAAGTGTGGACAATTTAACACGTACAAATAATATAATATATTCATGAAATGGACATAAAATTGAAAAATTATAACATTAGTGGGTTTTCTGGATCAAGGCAATGCACAATAATAACATAATAGTTCTGGAAAGAACCTTGACCCTCTGATACCATAATGTTATTCTTATGGAGAATATTGTAAAATGTTGTAGTTGGCTTGTTTATGGATATATTTTGATCAAACTTGGCAGATTTATTTATTCTATTCTAAGCTATTAACATTTTAATAAAAAAAAAACACACTTTATTAGTTTCCCTGTAGCAGCAAACTTACGTACTCGTTAAACATAAATGTTAATTTAATAGATTAATTGAAAATCAATACAGGCAAATGGAAATTTGCTTAGTCGGCAGGTTTGCTGCATAGGGGGTATTTATTTTATTTACCGTATTTTGACACTATTCACTGTACCACCAATGTACATGAGTTATATGACAAATAGAAGATGTTTGAATATGAATATTAATACTTTCTCAAAGCTCGGAGAGCTTTAAGTTATGGACAAAATGTATGCCCTGTTCTTCACCTAGCCCCAGAGAAAGAAATTGCAGAAGAGGTCCAGTGAATGGGGTGCTGAGCCATCCTCAGTACAGAGGCCAATCCAACCATCAAGGAGGATTTTATTTGAAAAAAAAAACACTTTGGACATCTCAGTGCCAATGAAGCGGATTCCCGTACTTCTTCCAAATATAGTGCACTCATGAGGTCGCTTTCCTGCGTGAACCAATGTATGTTGCTTCATATAAGTAATGGTTTCAAAGGAGTGTCCATCGCTCTGTGTGTGAACCAATGTACGTTTCTTATTTTGCTACTGGTTTGGAGGGATTTTCCACATATAGTAGACTTACGAGGTCACTCTCCTTTGTGAACCAATGAATGTTTCTTATTTTTACTACTGGTTTGGAAGGAT